AAAAATGATAGAGCACCTTTGAGCAACAAAGCTCAGAGACAGCACCCAGGCCCTGAGCCCAAGCTCTATGACGAACCTCAAAAAAAAGTGGTAACACAGGAAGGAGAGGACGGTGTTCTGTTCTCAAGGAGTATGAAGGAGGTGGTGTCCTCCAGGGGTGAAGGAGGTGTGGTGTGGTGTCCTGGGGGGGGCCGGGGTGAAGGAGGCGTGGTGTTCTCCAGAGGTGAAGGAGGCGAGGTTGGCAACGGCTTTCTGTGTCCCCCTGGGGTGTGGAGGAGCAAGGGACCTGCACGGCTGTGGAGGAAGTCCTTCTTGGATCCGTGGTGATTGTGTGGCCTGTGCAGGCGAGCAGAGAGGATGTGCAGGAGGCGGGGAGGACTTAGCCAAGCACCACGAGCGGGGCTGCTGGCTTGGCGGGGGGCAGCTTTGGTGGCTCCGTTCTGGACGTATCTTCTTTGGGTGCTGGCGTGCTGGCGTGTGGAGCCCGCGGCCTTGCCCCTTGCAGGGTAGTGGTCCCTACAGTTGAGCTAAGCTGTCTGTCTGTGTTTTTCCAAGTGCTGTGCGGGAATCTGCCCTGTTCAGTGTCTGCCATTTCATTCGTGTACCGCGTGGACTCGGCGTCTGTGACCGCTGACCTTGTCTCGGCTCTGGACAGAGGACTGGCCTCCACCCTGAGCCCTGCCTGCCCTTGCCTCTCCGTTTATACCACACTCCCTTCCTTCAGCTCCTAAGTGGAGACTGGCCAGGCTCAGCCTCGGGGCCTTCTCCCTCGTGGGAGCCCAGCCAGGCCCAGGACCGTCCGTCTGTCTGCCCATCCGTCCGTCCATCCGCCTGCCCGTCCGTCCATCCGTCCGTCTGTCTGTCCGTCCGTGTGGGTAGAACCCAGCGCCTGGGGCCCGGCTGTAGAGTGGTGCTCTGTTCACTGGCTGGGGCTCAGCCCCAGTGTCAAGGTGGTGTGGGCACAGGCATGAAGAAGGGCACGAGGCTCCCGCCCTCCCCCCTCTCTCCCTTCCTGAAGAGCAGTTGTCTGTCCTTCCTGTGTCCCGTCCCACCTGACTGACACCTGCCTGGCTCTGGGTCCCCTCCCTTAGTCTTGGCTTTTTGTCCTAACAAGGAACCAGCCACGTTTGGAGCTTTGGCTGCGGGTAGCAGGTGCGGCTGGCGGGAATGGGCCAGGCATTGCGGCGAGGCACGGTGGTCGGCGGCCGCTCTCCCCTGGCCTCGCTCCCCGGTGTTCCCTCACACAGCAGTTCTGTACTGGCGGCACAGAAGAGCTGCTGGTGCCGTTCTCTCTCAGTGCAGACTTTTCTAGAATTATAATTTCTCGCCAAACCCTGTTTTTGGTTGGTGTGTATGTCTGTGTGTATGCATGCATGTGTGTGCACGCGCACACACACACACACACACAGCAGTACAGCTTGAACCTGGGGCCACACTTGCTTGGCATTTTGGCTCACTGCTGGTGCGTTACTACTTCACCACACCTCTATTTCTAGCTTTTTGCTGGTCAGTTAAAGATAAGACTGTCTCAGATCAGTCTTTCCTAGGTGGCTTTAAACAATGATTCTCAGACCTCAGCCTGCTGAGTAGCTAGGATTAGAGGACTGGCAGTTGGCTTCATTTTTGCTTTTTTTTTTTTTTTGGTATCTTGGTAACCAGCTAGGTTTGTAAGGACCACTATATGATATTTCTTTGGATTTCTTTCTTTCTCTTTGTTTCTTTCTTTGTTTCTTTGTTTCTTTCCTTCTTTCCTTCTTTCTTTTTTCTTTTTTTTTTTTTTATCGGTTGTGGGTCCTGAACTCTGGGCCTGGGCGCTGTCCTTCAGCTCTTCAGCTCAAGGCTACTGCTCTATCACTTGAGCCACAACACCACTTCTGGCTTTTTCTGCTTATATGGTGCTGAGGAATCGAACTCAGGGCCTCATGCATGCAAGGCAAGCACTCTACCACTGAGCCACTTTCCCAGCCCCTCATTTTTGCTTTTCTTTGTACTAATTTCCATATTTGCTTTTTTTCAGCTTATTTCATTTCTAGCTCTTTTGAGTTAAACTCTTAGTTCACCCCTTTTCTTTGACAAATTCTACTCTGTGTATGTGTGTGCGCACACACATGTGTACTGGTGCTTGAGCTCAGGGCTAGGACACTGTCCCTGGCTAGTTAGGAGAAATTCCCAAACTTCCAAGTGAATGAAGGTATTTCCTTTGTTTATACTTTCACCTTTTTCCAGTCTCATTGTGCTGTGATCATAGTATTTGATTTTTTACCTTTGCCATACTTGGCATTTAAACTTTTCTTTAGCTGGATGTCAGTGGTTCACACCTGTTAATCCCAGCACCTCAGGAGACTGAGATCTGAGGATTGTGGTTCAACGCCAGCCAGGGCAGGAAAGTCCATGAGACTTATCTCCAGCAAACTTCCGGAAAACTGAAGGGGCTCTGGCTCAAGTGGTAGAGTGATAGCCTTGAGCTGAAGAGCTGAGGACAGCGCCCAGGCCCAGAATTAAAGCCCCACGACAGACAAAAAAACCAAAAACAAAACTTTTCTGTCATAGTGTGGAGTCATGTGTGTGTAGACTGGCAGCATGGAGCCGTGTGGGTGTAGACTGTCACTTGGTGGAGTTGTGTGGGTGTATGTAGGCTGTTTCAGCGTGGAGCCGCGTGGGTGTTGACTGTCACAGTGGGGAGTGATGTACGTGTAGAGTGTTGCACATGGAGCTCTGTACAGGTAGACTTTGCACGTGGAGCTCAGCGTGCAGGTAGACTGTTAACATGCAAGGCTCAGCGTACAGGTAGACTGTTACATGTAGGGCTCAACATACAGGTAGACTGACGTAGTGTGGAGCTCAGCATACAGGTCGGCTGTTACACGCAGGGCTCAGTGTACAGGTAGACTTACACGCAGGGCTCAGCGTACAGGTAGATTGTTGCACGTTGAGCTCAGCATATAGGTAGGCTGTTGTAGTGTAGAGATCACATACAGGTAGACTGTTGCATGCAGGACTCAGCGTATAGGTAGACTTATATGCAGAGCTCATCAAAAGGTAGACTGTTGCACATGGACCTTAGCATACAAGTAGACTTTCATACAGGGCTCAACATGCAGTCTACAGCATGTGTAGACTGTTACACACAGAGGTCAGTGTACAAGTAGACTTGCACACGGAGCTCAGTGTACAGGTAGATTGTTACACACAAGGTGCAGCTTACAGGTAGACTGTTAGGTGTAGGGCTCAGTGTACAGGTAGACTGTTACACATGGAGATAGACTATTACACATGGAGCTCAGCATACAGGTAAACAGTTACAGTGTGAAGCTCAGCATACAGGTAGGCTGTTACATGTCCATCTCAACATATAAGTAGACTGTTGGATGCTGAGCTCAGTGTACAGGTAGACTGTTGCACACAGAGTTCAGCATATAGGTAGACTGTTACATGCAGGGTGCAATGTACAGGTAGACGGTTACACACAAGGCTCAGCGTGCAGGTAGACTGTTATACACAAGGCTCAGCATACAGATAGATGTTACACTCAGGGCTCAGTGTACAGGTAGACTATTACATGCAAGGCTCAGCGTATAGGTAGACTGTTACACACAAGGCTCAGCATACAGGTAGACTGTTAAACACAGGGCTCAGTGTACAGGTAGACTGTTACACGCAGGGCTCAGTGTACAGGTAGACTGTTACACGCAGGTCTCAGTGTACAGGTAGATTGTTACACGCAGGGCTCAGTGAACAGGTAGATTGTTACATGCAGGGCTCAGTGTACAGGTAGACTGTTACATGCAAGGCTCAGTGTACAGGTAGGCTGTTACACGCAGGGCTCAGTGTACAGGTAGACTGTTACACGCAGGGCTCAGTGTACAGGTAGATTGTTACATGCAAGGCTCAGTGAACAGGTAGACTGTTACACGCAGGGCTCAGCATATAGGTAGACTGCTACACACAAGGCTCAGTGTACAGGTAGACTGTTACATGCAGGGCTCAGTGTACAGGTAGACTTTACACACAAGGCTCAGTGTACAGGCAGACTGTTACCCGCAGGGCTCAGCATACAGGTAGACTTGCACACGGAGCTCAGTGAACAGGTAGAATATTACATGCAGGGCTCAGCATACAGGTAGACTCCTGCACACAGGGCTGAGCATACAGGTAGACTTGCACACAGCTCAGCATACAAGTAGACTGTTGCACATGGGGCTCATTATACAGGTAGACTTGTAGTGTGGAGCTCAGCATACAGGTAAACTCTTGCATGCAGAGCTCAGTGTACAGGTAGACTGTTGTAGTATGGAGTTGTGTACATGTAGACTGTTGCACACAGAACTCAGCATACAGGTAGACTTGCATGCTGAGTTCTATACAGGTAGACTTACACGCAGGGTTCAGCATACAGGTAGACTGTTGCACATGGAGCTCAGTGTATAGACTGTTACACACACAGAGCTCAGCATACAGGTAAACGGTTGTAGTGTGGCGCTCAGCATAGAGGTAGGCTATTGCCTGTGGAGCTCAGCATACAGGTAGACTGTTGGATGCTGAGCTCAGTGTACAGGCAGACTTTTACACGCAAGGCTCAGTGTACAGGCAGACTGTTGCTCACGGAGCTCAGCATACAGGTAGACTGTTGTAGTGTGGAGCTCAGTGTACAGGTAGACTGTCATAGTGTGGAGTTGTATACAGGTTGACTGTTGCACATGGAGCTCAGTGTACACCTGCAGGTTTGTGTTTACTCAGTCTTATTTGGCTTTTCTCGGCTGAGTTATTTGAAATTACGCACCTGTTTTCCCTCAGATTAATGTGCTGTGACTTCTGCTTCAGGTTTACCTGTCTGGCTCTTTTTTTTTTTAGTTGGCTTTTAGCCATGTGGATGGAGTTACATAGCAGCTGAGGGCTGGGTCTGGAGCAGGGTCACACTGCTCTCCAAGCATCCTCCACACCCTGCTTTTGGAGACATGCAACACTGAAGGTGTGAGGGAAACAAACCACCCCCCCCCCTCCCCAGCCTGGGCCCTTAAATGTCTTTGAGGTAGAAATAGGCTATATTCAAAGCAGTTTGAAAATCACTTTGGTCTTTATTTCCTTTGGATGAGATGAGCGTGTACATTATTTCTTACCCAGATGCGTTGCTTTCTTTATTACACTTAGGCATCAGTGTCTTTCTGGCGGGATTTCTCACTCATCAACTATGGAGATGGAACACGAAAAGATGAGCGTGAGCAAGGAGTTGAGTCCGGACTCGGCCTTCTGCTGCGCGGCGTGCCATGGGGATGAGACCTGGAGCCCCAGCCACCCGCTCCGGGGCCGGGCCAAGTCTCGGAGCCTGTCTGCCTCGCCCGCCCCGGGCAGCACCAAGGAGTTCAGGTGGGCGGACCCTCCTCCCCGTGCTGGGGGTGACTAGTTAGGACTGGCACCAAGAGTTCTTCGGGCAGCCTATGGCAGTGCGTGTCAGCTGTGCTTAGTGAGAGCCTGGCGCAGAAGATGGGCTGGGTCCTGGGGCCAGGCTGGCTTGGGGACACGTGCCAGACACGGCACAGCACCCCCCTTGTGCTCTGTGAGGTTTTCCTGGGACCAGCAGCTGAATTGACCCCAGGGCCCTGACCATACCTGTGACATGCAAGGCAGACTGCTGGCTACAAGCAGTTGGCTGGGACGGTGGCTCGGTGGTGAAGTGCTCGCCTAGCACGCATGAAGCCCTGGGTTCCATTCCTCATGTGCCACATACACAGAACGAGTCGGAAGTGACACTGTGGCTCAAGTGGTAGAGCAAAAGAAGACTTGAGCAAAAGACGCTCAGGGACAGTGCCCAGGCCCTGAGTTCAAGCCTCAGGACTGACAAATTAAAAAAGCATGCTGTGTCTTCCATGAGGTAAGACAACCTGCAGAGCCCCACGGGAGGGTGGGGGGAGCTCTGCTCATTCCTAGAGACGGCCCTGGGGCTCTGGGACCTGCTTGGACCCTGGTAGCCAGCACCGTGGCCCTGATGGGCAGGCTCGTCACAGATTGCTTCTCCTGCATGTGCTTCTGGACAGAACTGCCTTGGGGCCCACCAAGAAGTGCAGGGAACTCTGAACCTTCTAAGAGGGGGACTGAGCCAGGCGCCTGTGGCTCACGCCCGTTATCCTAGCCACTCAGGAGGCTGAGATCCAAGGGTCATAGTTAGAAGCCAGCCCAGGCAGGCAGGAAAGTCCGTGAGACTCTTAGCTCCAGTTAGCCAACAGAAAACCAGAAGTGGTGCTGTGGCTCAAGTGGTAGAGTACTAGCCTTGAGCTGAAGAGCTCAGGGACAGTGCCCAGGCCTCGAGCCCCACAGCCAACAAAAAAAAAAAAAAATGTAGGCCTGAGCCAAGGGCCTGGTGAGCACGGAGCGGCAGCTGCCCCTACAGGAGAGAGCTTGCTTTTGTTGCCCATGCCAGAGGACACAGATGGAGACTGCTCGCCTAGAGATGCATTCTGTTCTGCAGGCTCCAAACCGCCTTGCTGCCAAGCCTCTCGTTGCTGTTGGTGGTGGTGGTGGTGGTCATGGTCATGGTGGTCGTGGGGCTTGAACTCTGGGCCTGGGCACTGTCCCTCAGCTCTTCAGCTCAAGGGGAGTACTCTACCATTTGAGCCACAGCGCCACTTCCGGTTTTCTGGTGGTTTATTGGAGATAAGAGTCTCATAGACTTTCATGCTGGGGTGGAGTCTGAACTGAGATCCCCAGATCTCAGCCTCCTGAATAGCTTCCTCCTGCCTTTTGGAGGTAAGCTTGCTGCTGCTTGTTTGCTGACTCATGGAGAACACTGGGCTCAGATGGACTGTGTGGCCCTAGGGAGGGCAGCATGGGTGGGGGGGGGAGGGCAGCTGTGTGGCTGCCTTGGCTCTTGCGGGAGCCCTGGACCCCCATGAAAGAATCTATGGTCACTTTCCACTCAATGGAAAGATTGGTTCAGAGTGAGCCCTGCATTCTTTGGTAATGTAGTAGCACATACATTAGTTTCTCAGTTGCTAAAATACATATTATTTAAGCACATCTTTTAAGATTTTGCTCATCTTTTTGTGTATGGGGTACCAGGGCCTCATGCAGGTAGATGACCACTCTGCCACCGAGCCTCATTCCCAGACCTGAAGTCTGTATCTTATTAACATCTTCCTTATGGATATGTGGGATTTCCAGTGAACATTTCTGGTAGAATTTTAATCTGCATTATTTTGAGACCTGTCCAAGGTCCTAATTCCTGATTAAAGGCCCAGAGCCCAGTGGAAGACGTTGTAAGCCCAAGACGACGCAAGTCCGCATGCTACTGGTTCGAAGCCATTGTCCACAGTGTGCACGGTTGCCCCTGCCTCTCCTAGCTACCAGCTGGGGTCAGTGGAGCCCTGGCCAGGCAGGTTCTCCAGCTGTGCCACGGATGTGCCGTGATGGAGCTGGTGGCCCTGTGTCTTTTGGGGTCTGGTGACCTGGATGTGCCTCTCGCCGTGCTGACTGTAGCCCCCTTCCCGCAGGCGGACGCGCTCTCTGCACGGGCCCAGCCCGGTGACCACGTTTGGACCAAAGGCCTGTGTGCTGCAGAACCCCCAGACCATCATGTGAGTTCCACCCCTGGGGCTCGGTCCAGGGGCAGGGTGGTGCGTGGGCCCCGGGTCCGTCCTGGGGCAGGGTGCGGGGGCTGATGCGCAGTGCAAAGCGCTTCTTCTGGGTCCTTCTGAAGGAAGCCTTGAGAGAAGCCTTGAACTGTCCCTAGCGGATACCATGCAGCTCCACGTGGCTCAGAAGCAGGGGCAGTGAGCATGAGCACACCCCTGTAGTGCCAGTGCTCAGGAGGCGGAGGCAGGGAAGTCCGTGTGGGTAACGTGGAGGCCAGCCTCAGCTACGCAGTGAGACACTGCAGACACGCACGCACCCACAACACAGGGAGCACGGAGCACACCCAGCGGTGGTGGCCGCAGGACGCGACGGCGCTGGCAGGGCCGCGCCGCTGCTCCCCGCCCCGCGCTGCGCCCGTCCAGCGCTTCCGCCTTCTGAGAGTTTGGCTTGTCCCGGCTTCGCTGCTTAATTGTTAATAGCACAGACACAGTGATGGGCTTTCTTCTCAACCTGATTTTAACTGCTTGAAAGAGCTCCTTCTTGTTGGTTGTGTGTGATGTGTGTGTTGGATGTATGTGGTATGCGTAATATGTGTGTGCCGTGTGTTGTATATGTGTGGTGTGTGGTATGTTGTGTGTGTGTATGTATCTACACGAATATATTGTATGTGGTGTATATATAGTGAGTATGCGTGTGGTATGTGTGTGATACGTGGTGTATGTGTATATATATTTATACACACACATATAGAGAATGTGGCATTATTTATATTGTGTGTGGGATGTGCCTCCTGTGGTGTGTGTGTGTGTGTGTGAGTGTGAGTGTGGAGATGGAGTCCAGGCCTCACACGTGCCAGGCAGGCCTGCTCTGTCTGGCAGCACCAGCCAGCACGCCTTGCAGCCCGCCACGCACCATAACGGCCCAGGAAGAACGCAGTGGATCATTTGACCACAGTCTTGCTCACCAGTCACTTCCCATCATCAACTTCTTTTTAGAATTTGTTGACTCCAGAAATGCAGGTATTCTCTTAGTGTGTTCTGCATGGTGGTCTAGTTTTTGGTTTTTTCCCTCTGAGAGGGAATCATTTCAGGATGCTGATATTCGTGCTTTGTTATTTTTGTGTGTGGTTTGTTTGTTTGTTTGCCCGTCCTGGGGCTTGAACTCTGGGCCTGGGTGCTGTCCCTCAGCTCTTCAGCTCAAGGCGAGCGCTCTACCACTTGAACTACAGCACCACTTCCGGTTTTCTGGTGGTTTATTAGAGATGGGAGTCTCACGGTCTTTCCTGTCCGGGCTGGCTTTGAACCTCGATCCTCAGATCTCAGCCTCCTGAGTAGCTAGGATTACAGGCGTGAGCCACCGGCACCCAGCTTCACTTCCAGCTTTTTCTGTGTATGTGGTGCTGAGGAACAGAACCCAAGGCTTCCTGCAGGCTGGGCAAGCACTCTGCCACTGAGCCACCTATCCAGACCCCAGTCATCTGTCCAGACTCTGAATTTACACACTTTGTCACATTTTACGCCTTGAACTGTTAGTTGTGCTGCTTCCCCAGAGAGATCTTCACTGTTGGTTCTCTGGAGGTTGGACACCCTAATGTCCCACCCTCTCCTGCTAGGGTCAGTCACGTGAAGGAGCCATGTGTCCAGGGTGGCCATGTTTGTGCTTGTCAGATGGAAGGATCCACCTGATAGGGAAGCCCCTCTCCAAGGCAGGCACTGCATGTCGTGAGGACCAAGGTTCCTAGCCAGGCCGGCATCCCGGGGTAGAGACCCAGCCCCAGGCCATGACCCAGGCCGTGCCCCAGGCCATGACCCTGTGCATCACAGGAGGGCGGGCAGAGGACAGCAGCATGACCACTATGAGACCTGGCCTGTGTTCAAGCCCTCAGAGCGGTGTCCGCCCCACCATTAGGTCTCGAGGACCTCAGCTGAGCCAAAGAAAACATAGGGTGCCCGTGGGGATGAGGAGCTGAGCGGTGGCCTGACCTGTGTATTGCTGCTGCCAGATGTGGGTTGGGGGAGGGGGTCCTGACCATTTGCCCCAGAAGTTTCAACTTCACTTTCCTGTCTGGGCAGCCTTGAGTGTCAGCTCCTTGTGCCAGGCCAGGGCTGCTTGCAGGTGTTGGTGTTGCCTTGTGCACCCAGTGCCCAGGGCCCTCCTCTGCGCAGAGCACTGGTCCTGAGGTCAGGCAGCCTCCCCAGGAGGGCCCAGCCGGCTACGGTCTGTGTCCAGCTTGGGACAGCCGTGTCAGCCGGCTCATCTGCGCTCCGGCTGTGCCTGGGTGGCTGGAGCCCAGCAACTCCCTGTCGCTCAGGAGCTCCTTCGCAGGCTCCATAGGAGGAGCTGCGCTTCCTTCTCGGGCTGAGATCTGGCCATGAGCCTTTGCGTTTGTTGGTTACAATGTCTGAAGCTACTGGCCGCGTCAGTGGCTAGATGTCCCTGAGCAGCACGGCAGGTCCGTTGGAGCTGGCCCTGCCCACTCAGCCCTGCACCTGCAGCCTGAGGGCTGGAAGGGCCAGACCGCTCCTCCATGGTGGCCCAAGAGGAAGTTGAGGAACTGGTTTGTGGTCACAGGAGAGGCTGGCACCTAGGCCTCGTAGAAGGTAAGTGGCGGTGGCTCTGCTTAGCTGAGTCTGCAGGCACGCCTTGGACTGGGCTGGCCTAGAGCAGCCTTGATGTGTGGCTGGCAGGCGCTGGGCGTGCTGTGTGTGGAGCTGGAGCGGTGGGGTCTGCTTGGGCGCCGGGCTGTGGACACCCACGCTCTTGGGTTCAGGCTGGGACTGCCTTTCACCTGCCGCCCTTTCACCTATGGGTGGCTTGGGAGCTCTGCCCAGTGGGCGGGCCTGGGCCTGGCATGGCTCAGCTCCGACGGCACAGCCAGGGCTCTGGGCTGCCCAGGCCCGGGCTGCATTGCTGGGGAGCCTAGGGCGTGGCAGAGCAGGGCGGTGGCGCTGGGCTTTGGCTGCTGAGGTCAGCCTGGTATTTTCAAGTAAGCAGTCAGACAGAAGAGGGTCATATGTGGCCGTAGGAAATCTTATTTTCACGTCCTTAAGTTTGGGAAGCTCTTTTGACTTAGTTGTTTCTGAAAGACTTGTAAGTCTTCTAAGAAATGTTCCACTTTCAATTTTGCGGGTGCGAAGCTAGTCGTGTAATGCGGGATTGGGAGCATGTCAGCGGGCAGAGCTGCGTGCATGCCTGCTAGCGACGTGGGCGGGGATGCTGTCTCCTAGAAGTGGAGGCCTCGGAGCCGTGGGCCTGGCACAGCGAGCTCAGAAGGGGTGCCATGAGCGGGCCCTCGCTTCCCACAAGGGCCTGGAACCGGTGAGTGGTGTCTGGGGCCATGAGCGGGCCCTCGCTTCCCACAAGGGCCTGGAACTGGTGAGTGGTGTCTGGGGCCACCTGGGACGAAGGTGACACTCGGTTGCCATAATTTGTGGCTACCCCTTGGTTTTGAAAGGTGCTTCTCGGCGGGGGGTGCATGCTGACCAGTCTTTCTGCAGCTGGGGCTGAGGAGGTCAGTATGGAGCGCTGACCCACTGGCTGGCCAGCCACAGCCACCTTCCAGCAGCTGCCAAGGGCAGGAGGTGGTCCTGGCATGCGTGCAGACGCCCTTTTCTGGGTGTTTGGGTGTTCTGGCCTGGTGTGCCCCAGGAATCTCAGCAGGGATGGACACGCGGCTGGGTAGAGTCTACTTTTGGAGACCAAGTGTGGACAGTGGGTCTGCGGCTTGAGCTGGTCTGTCACAGGCACCGGAAACCCGAAGCCTTGCGCGCCAGGAGGGCCCGTGCTGCCTACCCGCAGACTTTCACTTGGTTTCTCTTATTTCTTTGTGCTGGTACTGGGGCGTGAGCTCTGGGCCTGGGCGCTGTCCCTCAGCTTTCTTTCTTTCTTTTTTTTTTTTTTGGGGGGTCCGGTCGTGGGGCCTGAACTCTGGGCCTGGGCGCTCTCCCTCAGCTCAAGGCTAGCGCTCTACCACTTGAGCCACAGTACCACTTTCGGCTTTTTTTTTTTTTTTTTTTTTTGGTCGGTCGTGGGGCTTGAACTCTGGGCCTGGGCGCTGTCCCTCAGCTCTTCAGCTCAAGGCGAGCGCTCTACCACTTGAGCCACAGTGCCACTTCCGGTTTTCTGGTGGTTTATTGGAGATAAGAGTCTCACGGTCTCTCCTGCCCAGGCTGGCTTTGAACCGCGATCCTCAGATCTCAGCCTCCTGAGTAGCTAGGATTACAGGTGTGAGCCACCAGCGCCCAGCTCCTGGCTTTTTTCTTATGTGGTGCTGAGGAATCGAACCCAGGGCCTCATGCATTGCAAGGCAAGCGCTCTACCACTGAGCCACTTTCCCAGCCCCCCTTAGTTTTCTTTGCTCAAGCCTGGCACTCTTGAGCCACAGCTCTACTTCCAGCTTTTTACTGGTTAGTTGGAGATAAGAGTCTCTTGGATTTATCTGTCCAGGCTGCCTTTGCATGAAGATCGACCTGGGTGCTGGTGGCTCACACCATGAAGGCCATGGTTTGAAGGCAGCCCAGGCAGGAGCGTCCATGAGATTGTCTTCTCTCCAGTTAACCACGAGGCAACCGGAAGCGGAGGTGTGGATTGGTGCAGGGGTATGTGTGTGTGAACACACGCACTCAGGAAGTCCATACAGGCGTGCGCACACACATGCACATGTACATGCACAGTCCACAGTGATTTGGAGTGGTGAGCTCTGCTCAGGGAGGTGTGGATTGATGCAGGGGTGTGTGTGCGTGAACACACACACACACAGGAAGAGTCCACACAGGCGTGCACACACACATGCACACGTACATGCGCAGTCCACAGGGGTTTGGAGTGGTGAGCTGTGCTCAGGGAGGTGTGTCCAGTGTAGCCAGTGTCCTGAAGAATTGTGGGATCAGACACCCTCTGGTCAAGGTGTCGACCTGGACTTCTCTTGGCTCTGTATGTGGTCTCTGTTCCCATGGCTGTCGTTAAGAAGCTGAGCGTGGCCTCAGTGGTTCATCCATCACGGTGAGTGGCAGGTGTGCGTAGCAGAATGCACAAGGAGATATGGCCGGAGTCCTGCAAATGCCACAGGCCAGACAGGGCTGCCTCCTCCAGGCCTCCGGCAGCTGAGGGTGCTGCCCCCTGCTTGTTCTCCTGTGGGACTTCTCTACCGTCTGTGAGTGGGCACAGGGGCACCGCCGGGTGTCCGTGTCTGTGAGTGGGCACCGGGCCACCCAGGGGCTCCGCCGGGTGTCCGTGTCTGTGAGTGGGCACGGACCACCCAGAGCACCGCCGGCTGTCTGTGCCCCTCTCGCCGAGGGAGGAGGACTGCGGTTGTAGGCTGTCCTCTCCTCCCCAAAGGCATATCCAAGACCCCGGGAGCCAGCGGTTGACGTGGAACAAGTCCCCCAAGAGCGTGCTTGTCATCAAGAAGATTCGGGACGCCAGCTTGCTGCAGCCCTTTAAGGAGCTCTGCGTGTACCTCATGGAGGCAAGTCGGGGGCCTGCAGCCGCTGCGTGCTCAGGGTGAAGGCCTGCCCGTGGGGAGCCTGGCCCCAGAACGTGACCTCCCACCTCCCACCTCAGAGCCTCTTGGGTTGCCCCAGGTCTCTCAGGAGCCCTTTGCAGCAGTCCTTGCTAACAGCCCAGCTCCACAGGCTGGGTAAGGTTCATTTTGGCTCCCAGTTCTGGCAGTTCAAGGTCAAGGGGCCATATCTGGTGATGGCCATCTTGCTGGCAGCCCTAAGCACCACCTGGTGAGACACAGGATCTGGCTAGGCACCTGGGGCTCACGGCTGTAACCCTAGACACTCAGGAGGCTGAGCTCTGAGAGTCTTGGTTCAAAGCCAGCTAGGGCAAGAAAGTCCTGAGACTCTTATCTCCAATTAACCACCAAAAGGAGCACTACCAGCCTTGAGCCAAAAAAGCTTAGGAACAGTGTCCAGACCCTGAGTTTAAGCCCAAGACTGACACATTAAAAAAAGGAGGAGAGGGCTGGGAAGGTGGCTCAGTGGTAGAGCGCTTCCCTTGCATGCATGAGGCCCTGGGTTCGATTCCTCAATACCACATAAGCAGAAAAAGTCGGAAGTGGTGCTGTGGCTCAAGTGCTCTTCAGCTCAAGAGCTGAGCGCTCTTGAGCTGAAGAGCTGAGGGACTGCGCTCGGGCCCACAGTTCAGGCCCCATGACGGACCCCCAGAAAAGGCGAGACAGCCTCTCTGTGTATGTGAGCACATGCAGGGTTTCTTTCCATAAAGCCTCCGTGATTGGAGTGTGGGGCTTCACCCAAGGCCCTGCCTCCCAGGCCCCACTCTGAACACGCAGTCAGAGTGCATTCCCACCCTCTCACCGCACGGTGGGGTCACAGGCAAGCAGTCCGATCACAGCCAGCAGGTTAGAAATCTGTCTTGAGGTCCAGAGGCCTGGAAGGCCAGAACCTCCTGCCGCACAGCAGTGAGGGGGAGGCTGGAAGGGACCAGGGCCCCAGAGAAAGCCACTGTTCTCCCAGGCTGCCCCTGCAGAGGCCTGGAAGGAGTTCTTTGCAAGGCCCCTGGCCCAGCCAGGCTTGTGGGGGCCACGTGGAGCTCAGTGAGCCATGCTTGCAGGAGAACAACATGATCGTGTATGTGGAGAAGAAAGTGCTGGAAGACCCCGCCATCGCGAGTGATGAGAACTTTGGACCAGTGAAGAAGAAGTTCTGCACTTTCCGAGAAGGTGCGTCTTCAGCTGTGGCCGGAGCAGCTGCCGGTGCTCTGCCCGTGCGTTGGCGTGCGGCCCGGGGGTGACGGCGCTCTTCTGCCTCCTGACTGCTTTCTAGATTATGACGACATTTCCAACCAGATAGACCTCATCATCTGCCTGGGGGGCGACGGGACCCTGCTCTACGCCTCCTCACTCTTCCAGGTGAGGCAGCAGGGCAGCCGCCTGCGTGCGCGGGCGCGGGCGTGGGGGGTGCGCCAGGGCGCGGGCCGCTGCCTGCAGCCGCTCACCAGCGCTGCCCAGCTCTTCTGGACTTGAGTTTGGGGGTTGCGTTTGTTTGTCAGTCACAGGGCTTGAGCTCGGGACCTGGGTGCTGTCTCTGAGCTCTTTTGCTCAAGGCTCGCGCTCTATCATTTTGAGCTACAGTGCCACTTCCAATTTTCTGGTGGTTACTTGGAGATAAGAGTATCTCAAGAACCGGGCGCCGGTGGCTCACGCCTGTTATCCTAGCTACTCAGGAGGCTGAGATCTGAGGATCACAGTTCAAAGCCAGCCGGGATAGGCAAGCCCATGAGACTCCTATCTCCAATAAACCACTAGAAAGCCGGAAGTGGCGCTGTGGCTCAAGTGGTAGAGCGCTCACCTTGAGCTGAAGAGCTGAGGGACAGCGCTCAGGCCCAGAGTTCAAGCCCCACGACCGACAACAACAACAAAAAAGTATCACAAGGACTTTCCTGTCCAGGCAGGCTTCAGATCTCAGCCTTCTGAGTAGTTTAGGATTCCAGGCGTGAGCCACCTGTGCCCGGCAGGTGCAGTTTGTCTTTGTGCAGTTCAAGTGCTGGCTGAAGAGCAAGTGTGAATGACCAGTGAAGAGCTGTGTTCGTGCTTCCTGTGCTGGGGGGAGGAGCTGTGGCCTGGCCCAGCCCGCAGAAGGGAGGATGGGCAAGGGCTGGGCTGGGAGGGGAGCTGGAGGGAGCGGGCACGGACACTGGCTGGTCGTTCGGAGTTTTTGGCTACTTCCTCCACCCATTGGGGCCTGGCCTTGGGCACAGGAGCGCACTGGGCCAGCGACCAGTGCATGCCAGGGCGAGTCCCTCGGGGAGGAGGGCCGGTGTTGGAGCAGGTTCTGGCAGAGGCTGCTGGGGACAGCAGGAGTCTTTCTGCAGGCTACAGGTAGCCTGTGAGAGGGCCCTGGCTCCTCGCCCAGCCCCGTGGTGCGGGTGCTGCCCAGGCTGCACCTCAGCGCCCCCCCCACCCCCGGTAGCCTGTTGGTCGTGGACTCCATCAGAGCCTGTGCACAGGCTGTGAAGGCTGCATCCCTCCAGCCCCTCCTCCCTGGGAGGCAGCCTCTTCACTGAGGCCCTGTCCTGGCCCCAGGGGACGCTGGCCAGCGCCCTGCGCCGGGGCGCTCCCACTCGAGAGCCACTGGCAGCTCCAGGCTTGTGGGTGGACGGCGCTGCCCGCCCTCTCCTCTCCACAGGCAGTGTGCCTCCAGCGATGGCTGCCCGCCCTCTCCCCTCCACAGGGCAGTGTGCCTCCAGCCATGGCTTCCACCCTCCCCTCCACAGGGCAGTGTGCCTCCAGCCATGGCTTCCACCCTCCCCTCCACAGGGCAGTGTGCCTCCAGCCATGGCTTCCACCCTCTCCCCTCCACAGGGCAGTGTGCCTCCAGCCATGGCTTCCACCCTCTCCTCTCCACAGGGCAGTGTGCCTCCAGCCATGGCTTCCACCCTCTCCCCTCCACAGGGCAGTGTGCCTCCAGCCATGGCTTCCACCCTCTCCCCTCCACAGGGCAGTGTGCCTCCAGCCATGGCTTCCCGCCCTCTCTCCCCTCCTCAGGGCAGTGTGCCTCCAGCCATGGCTTCCTGCCCTCCCCTCCACAGGGCAGTGTGCCTCCAGCCATGGCTTCCACCCTCTCCCCTCCACAGGGCAGTGTGCCTCCAGCCATGGCTTCCCGCCCTCTCTCCCCTCCTCAGGGCAGTGTGCCTCCAGCCATGGCTTCCACCCTCTCCTCTCCACAGGGCAGTGTGCCTCCAGCCATGGCTTCCTGCCCTCTCCCCTCCACAGGGCAGTGTGCCTCCAGCCATGGCTTCCACCCTCTCCTCTCCACAGGGCAGTGTGCCTCCAGCCATGGCTTCCACCCTCTCCCCTCCACAGGGCAGTGTGCCTCCAGCCATGGCTTCCACCCTCTCCTCTCCACAGGGCAGTGTGCCTCCAGCCATGGCTTCCACCCTCTCCTCTCCACAGGGCAGTGTGCCTCCAGCCATGGCTTCCTGCCCTCTCCCCTCCACAGGGCAGTGTGCCTCCAGCCATGGCTTCCACCCTCTCCCCTCCACAGGGCAGTGTGCCTCCAGCCATGGCTTCCACCCTCTCCCCTCCACAGGGCAGTGTGCCTCCAGCCATGGCTTCCACCCTCTCCCCTCCACAGGGCAGTGTGCCTCCAGCCATGGCTTCCACCCTCTCCTCTCCACAGGGCAGTGTGCCTCCAGCCATGGCTTCCACCCTCTCCTCTCCACAGGGCAGTGTGCCTCCAGCCATGGCTTCCTGCCCTCCCCTCCACAGGGCAGTGTGCCTCCAGCCATGGCTGCCCGCCCTCTCCCCTCCACAGGGCAGTGTGCCTCCAGCCATGGCTTCCACCCTCTCCTCTCCACAGGGCAGTGTGCCTCCAGCCATGGCTTCCTGCCCTCCCCTCCACAGGGCAGTGTGCCTCCAGCCATGGCTTCCACCCCCTCCCCTCCACAGGGCAGTGTGCCTCCAGCCATGGCTTCCACCCTCTCCTCTCCACAGGGCAGTGTGCCTCCAGTGATGGCTTTCCACCTGGGCTCGCTCGGCTTCCTCACCCCATTCAACTTCGAGAACTTCCAGTCCCAAGTCACTCAGGTGATAGAGGGTGAGTTGGAATGTTTGGGAAACATGGGGTTGCATTCCCATGTGAACAGTGAATGAAGTAGCACTTAAAAGTTTGAGGATTTGGCTGGGTGCCCGTGTCTCACGCCTGTGATCCTAGCTACTCAGGAGGCTAAGATCTGAGGATCACGGTTCAAAGTTCAAAGCCAGCCTGGGCAGGAAAGTCTGTGAGACTCTTATCTCGAATAAATCACCAGAAAACTGGAAGTGGCGCTGTGGCCCAAGTGTCAGAGCACTCGCCTTGAGCTGAAGAGCTGAGGGACAGCGCCCAGGCTGAGGGGACAAGTCAAGATGGAAGGGTTTTTAAGTTTGGGGTCTTTTAGGTAGTCGTACGAACAGCTTGCAGTCTGAGTCGGGTGTGAGCACTTGTGTTTTGATCACTGTCACCCCTTCCATTGCTCTCCCTTAATGCTGGGGGTCAGCAGCCTGGGCTGGAGCCGCGCCGTGTGCTCTCAGAAGGGAGGGGCCGTGGGGCCGGGCGGGCGGGCCCTGCTGACCTCTGGTACCCCAGGGAACGCGGCTGTTGTTCTTCGGAGCCGGCTCAAGGTGAGAGTGGTCAAGGAGCTCCCAGGCAAGAAGGCGGCCTTGCACAACGGGCTCAGCGAGAATGGCCTGGCTGGCGTGGGCGCGGAGGCTGGGAAGCAGGCCATGCAGTTCCAGGTCTGTCCTGTGGCCCTGGGGCTGTGGCCGGGGGGTGGGGGGGGACGTGGGGCTGGATGCCATGGTAGCACCACAGGTGCCTGTGTGCCCAGTGCTGCTGGCTGACCCCTCTGACCACAGAGGCCCCCTGCTCCCCAGGTCTTGAATGAGGTGGTCATCGACAGAGGCCCTTCCTCGTACCTGTCCAACGTGGACGTCTACCTGGATGGGCACCTCATCACCACGGTGCAGGGTGATGGTAAGGCTGGGGACAGGCTGGGCCCCGAGAGCCCTGTGCAGGACCGAGCGTGACGCCCGCACCCTGTCCCCACCAGGTGTGATTGTGTCCACCCCAACGGGCAGCACAGCGTACGCAGCGGCAGCCGGGGCCTCCATGGTTCACCCCAACGTGCCAGCCATCATGGTCACGCCCATCTGTCCCCACTCACTGTCATTCCGACCCATCGTGGTCCCTGCAGGGGTGGAGCTGAAGGTCAGAGCCAGTGCCCCTCTGCCTCCTCTGCTTGTGAGCCTCTGGGGGACAGTGACAGTGGGAAGCAGCTACTGGAGCCCCAGCGTGCCGCTGCCTCAGGCATGTGAGCCCCTGGCCTGGGCTCAGGAGCCTGCCCACCTGTCAGGGAGAGCCGGCCAGCCCTCCCGGGGCCAGGGCAGGTGGCCCTCGGTGAGGAAGGGCCGGCCGGCTTGCTGGCGCCAGCCCCAGCCCCAGCGTCCTCCTCACACTCGGCGGCTCTGGCCCCCCGGGCCAGGCCTGATCGCAGGTGGTGCCTTGTGTAGGAAGCTGCTGGCGCGCTAGAGCAAGGCCAGAGCTGCCGGGCCCGGGCCCCGCTCAGCCCAGCCCCCCTTCCCCTCTTGACCCCTCAGATTATGCTGTCACCGGAAGCCAGGAACACGGCCTGGGTGTCCTTTGACGGCCGGAAGAGGCAGGAGATTCGCCACGGAGACAGGTGTGGGGCTGCAGGGCTGGCGTGTCGGCCTCCCCTGTGCCAGGCAAGGCCTCAGGACTGTGGCTGGCCTGTGGCAAGGCCTGGCTGGGGCTGCAAGGGGCACAGGTCAGAGGGTCCCCTGGGTCTGTCACCCCGCTGGACCTGAGTGGGCCTGGCCCACCATCCGCTCCACGCAGAGCCTGCCAGCCATGCCCCCAAGCCTCTTAGCCTAGCAGGGCCTCCCGGAGGCCTGGGGTGGATGCGGGGACAGGTGACCCCTCCACAGGCCTACCAAGTCCCGCCTGGCCCACTATCTCTAAAAGAGATAGGCCCCTCAGGGCTGGGAGCGCTGGGGCAGCCTGGGAGGAGCGGGCGGGCGCCCTGGTGGCTCTGTGCTCACAGGCCTGCCCCCCCCCCCCCCAGCATCAGCATCACCACCTCCTGCTACCCACTCCCCTCCATCTGCGTCCGCGACCCGGTGAGCGACTGGTTCGAGAGCCTCGCACAGTGTCTGCACTGGAACGTGCGGAAGAAGCAGGCGCACTTCACCGAGGAAGAGGACGGGGACGGGGGCGCGCGTGAGGACGGCTAGGCCGCCCGGACCAGCCGCGGTCTGCCCCGCCTCTGGGGAAGAGCCTGGGCTGCTTCCGTTCTGGGCTGGGTGCCAGCCTGCACTGCTCTGGCCGGGACCCTGCGAGTGCAGGTCAGGAAGCTCCCCCCAATCAGTCTATTGAAATTCTGAGGGGTCAGAATGAATTGATCTCCCTTTTGATAATTGAAATAAATGTCTCAGCCAAACTCTTCCTTTAACTGCCATGCTTTTCCCCTGGGCTCTGCATCTTCTCCCCTAAAACTCTGGAGGTAGCCTGCCGAGTTCGCTGCGGGTCGACCGCAGGGTGCACCTGCTTGGCCTGCAGTTTCTGGGGACCGGCGCAGGCTGCGGGGTGGCATGGAGCCCCTCGCCAGCCAGCGAAGCGGCAGTCCCAACCACATTCCTCACGCAGCGGGTTCAGGGAAGATGTGTAAGTCCTGTTCTGTACTTCTTAGAGACTCTCTTAAATTTCCTGAAGTGCTTATGTACATATTTTATTGTACACTTGGGAAGATGTAGAAGGACGGTCCAGTGTTTACATCATGTCTACCGGGCAGAGGGTCCAGGAGCGGTTTGGTGCTTCCGGGGCCGGGCGGAGACAGCCAGGCCACAGCCCTGTGCCTCTGCCTTCCTGAGCTGTGTGTGCCTCGGCGCCCCATATCCTGCGCAGTCTGTGATCCGCAGCCGCCTGGTGTGGTCCAACGCAAGGCAGCGCCCGCCCTAGCCAGGGGACACGGTGGACATCTGCTTTGAGTTGGTATCTCAACGTTTTGTTTTCACCTGATAAGTTACTCTCATGCCTGGATGGGCCTCCTGAAGGCACGCAGGTGCGGCACCGTGCCCAGCCACCAAGGGCCTCCCTGCGGATGGCTGCGCGGCCCAGGCCAGAGCCCGAGCCCTCTTCATAGGAGGTGCATGGCACCGTCTTCTCCTGGCACCTGTGGGCCCTAAACAGCGAACGGGCCATCGAGGGGTGCAGGGTGCTGTCGAGCCTGGGGAGCAAAGGTGCGGAATTGGACCTCGTCTAAGGAAGTGGGTGCCGGTGCTGCGTGCTGCTGGACGGTCTAGAGCACTTGGGGCTTTGAAGCAAATTCTTAATGTTTCATATTGTTAATATCTTGAAAATTTGTTAATTATTGATGAAAGCCTTATTACTATTTTCAGACCCTTTCAATAAACTTGTTTAAAAAAAAAAAAAAAGACTGGGTTGAGTCATTTTGTTCCAGCTCTCTCTGACCAATGTGAGGACTGAAGGGCACTGGGCCTCCCAGCGGGCTCTGGGCTGGCCAGGCCAGGCACCTCCCAAGGGACCGGGCTGGAGCACAGCCGCCTCCGGCCCAGACCGGGCAGGGCACCCAGAAAGGGCACTGCCACCAGAGAGGCACAGAGCCTCGGTGCCAGGCCCGCCAGATGGCCTGGGGAGCCCAGAGCTGGCCCGGACCCTCAAGCCTTGCCCGCCAGGGACCCGGCCCTGGGCCCAGACCTGATTAGGTCACAGTAGCTGGAAACTGGCAAGTCCTAGCTGGTCCCCAGTGGCTAGGTCCTCGGTGCCATGGACACAGGCACCAGCCCACCCCGGGTCGAAGCCCATTGTGCAGCCGCCTCTTGGATCAGGCTCCCCAGATCCCCAGTTGCCATGCAGAATCACAGACTGCTGAGATCCACTCATGAAACACATTTTGGAGCCAGGTGCTGGTGGCTCATGTCTGTAATCCCAGCTACTTAGGAGGCTGGGGTCTGAGGACTGCAGTTTGAAGCCAGTCCAAGCAGGAAAGGCTGTGAGTCTCTGGTGTCCACTAGACTACAAAACTAGCTTGAACACAAAAGAGAAAAAACATTTTGGGGGCTGGGAAGGTGGCTCAGTGGTAGAGTGCTTGCCTTGCATACATGAGATCCTGGGTTCGATCCCTAGCATTCCATAAGCAGAAAAAGCCAGAAGTGGCGCTGTGGCTCAAGTGGTAGAGCGCTAGCCTTGAGCTGAAGAGCTGAGGGACAGCGCCCAGGCCCAGAGTTCAGGCCCCACAACCGGCAAAAATAAAAAATAAATAAAAATAAAATTGTGGGGGAGCGGAGGGCCGTGTTCCTGAGGCGGCGGCGGCGTCTTGGACGGCGGGGAAGGAGGATGGAGCGAGCTGGGGGTTGGGGTTGGCGCTAGCCGCCGCGGCTCGCCTGGCGCCGTGGGAGAGCGGCGGCAGCTCCGGAAAGTTGTGGTGTCGAGAGCCGAGCCGGGCCGGTGCTGCCGCAGCCGCCGCCCGGGGCGGTGGGGAGGAGGCCGGCGCGGCGGAGGCTGGAGGGGGTCGAGAGGCAGGGCGGGCCGGGAGCGGCGCGCTGGGGAAGACAGAGCAGGCTCTGCGGCGGGCGGGCGGGCGGCGGGGGGACGCGGGAGGATGGAGCAAGTGGAGATCCTGAGGAAATTCATCCAGAGGGTCCAGGCCATGAAGAGTCCGGACCACAATGGGGAGGACAACTTCGCCCGGGACTTCATGCGATTAAGAAGATTGTCTACCAAATATAGAACAGAAAAGATTTATCCCACAGCCACTGGAGAAAAAGAAGAAAATGTTAAAAAGAACAGATATAAGGACATACTGCCATTTGATCATAGCCGAGTTGACTTTGAAAACTCCTCAAGATTCAGACTATATTAATGCAAATTTTATTAAGGGTGTCTATGGGCCAAAAGCATATGTGGCAACCCAAGGACCTTTAGCGAATACCGTGATAGATTTTTGGAGGATGATATGGGAATACAATGTTGTAATCATTGTAATGGCCTGTCGAGAGTTTGAAATGGGAAGGAAAAAATGTGAACGCTATTGGCCTTTGTATGGAGAAGACCCCATAACATTTGCACCATTTAAAATTTCTTGTGAAGATGAACAAGCAAGAACAGATTGCTTCATTAGGACACTGTTACTTGAATTTCAAAATGAATCTCGTAGGGTCTATCAGTTTCATTACGTGAATGGCCAGACCATGACGTTCCTTCATCATTCGATTCTCTTCTGGATATGATAAGCTTAATGAGAAAATACCAAGAACATGAAGATGTACCTATTTGTATTCATTGCAGTGCAGGCTGTGGAAGAACAGGGGCCATTTGTGCAATAGATTATACGTGGAATTTACTAAAAGCTGGGAAAATACCAGAGGAATTTAATGTATTTAATTTAATACAAGAAATGAGAACACAAAGGCATTCTGCAGTACAAACAAAGGAGCAGTACGAGCTTGTTCATCGAGCCATTGCACAACTGTTTGAAAAACAGTTACAACTGTATGAAATTCATGGAACCCAGAAAATTTCTGATGGTGTAAATGAAATTACAACTGAAAACGTGGCTAGCTCCATAGATGCTGAGAAACAAGATTCTCCTCCTCCAAAGCCACCAAGGACTCGCAGTTGCCTTGTAGAAGGAGATGCTAAGGAAGAAATACTACAGCCACCAGACCCTCACCCAGTACCACCCATCTTGACACCATCTCCCCCTCAGCCTTTCCAACAGTCACCACTGTGTGGCAAGACAATGACAGATACCACCCAAAGCCAGTGCTGCACATGGCTTCATCAGAGCAGTCAACAGACCTCAACAGAAACTATAATAAGTCAACAGATGTTCCAGGGAAAAATGAACCAACTGTTGAACAGGCAGATAAAAAATTGGAACGAAACTTAAGTTTTGAGATTAAGAAGGTCCCTCTCCAGGAAGGACCAAAAAGTTTTGATGGGAACACTCTCTTGAATAGAGGACATGCAATTAAAATTAAATCTGCTTCGTCTTGTATGGTTGATAAAATGTCTAAGCCACAGGAGTTAAGTTCAGGGGATGTAAAAGTTGATGATAATCCTGAGAATTCTTGTGTGGACTACATTACAACACAGTCAAACAAGGTTTCTGCACCTTCAGAAGAATCACAGAATTCAGATACACCACCAAGGCCAGACCGCTTGCCACTTGATAAAAAAGGACATGCAACGTGGTCATTTCATGGACCAGAAAATGCCACATCCACAACTGATTCATCTGAAGGCAAATCCTCAGATACTATGAAAACTATGAAAACTGTGAGTTCAACGCCAAACCCTACCACAGAAGCTGAAATCCATGATCTTGTGGATCATCATAGCAGTTCACCTCTATTCATAGCACCCCTTAGCTTTACTAATCCCCTTCACTCTGATGATTCAGACTCAGATGAAAGGACTTCTGATGGTGCTGTGACAAAGAAGAAAACTACAATTTCAACAGCAAGTGCCACAGTTTCTGCTGCCACCAGCACCGAAATCATTTCTACGAGGAAAGTATTGCCCATGTCCATTGCTAGACATGATGTAGCAGGAACCATACATTCAGGTGCTGAACAAGATGTTGACATTAGTGAAGATTCACCTCCTCCCCTTCCTGAAAGAACTCCTGAATCTTTTGTACTAGCAAGTGAACAGAGTGAGTATATACCTATAAGATCTGAATGGAGTGAACTTCAAAGTCAGGAATGGTCTGAACAAAGAGAGTCTGAAGACTTGATAACCTCTGGATATGAAAAATGTGATCATGTATCAGGAGGTAATCACATCACAGAGACTTGTACAGAATGTCCACCTACTTTCAGTGACAAGAAAGATCAAGTAACAGAAAGTCCAACAGAAGCCACAGATATTGGTTTTGGTAATCGCTGTGGCAAACCAAAAGGACCAAGAGACCCACCTTCTGAATGGACATGATTCAGGGAATACAACCTTTAAATTATACTGGAAAATTCAAGTGCCACTGAAAGCCAGATTTATAGTATTCCATCTTTAAAATGTGGGACTAACAGCAGTGTAGATTGTTACCTTAGTATTTTTTGCTGGGATCATCTACCTGCCTTATACTACAGTTAGGAAAAAGTATTACATATGGTTTATTTTGTAACTTCAAGTATTATTGCCTTAATGTCTCTTAACACTGTTACACGCTGCTTGTAGACCTGTTAATACAGTAATAATTTTATGATGAATTGAGTTCATGGACTATTTTGCTGTTTTATCATGTATGCATTATTTTGTATATGTACAGGGCAAGTAGTTATATAATTTGATAAAGTTGGAGTCATAAAATATTATTAACAGAAGATGTAAGAAATTTCTGCATGGTCTAAATCTTTGTGTATCTTATTTGTAAATTATTTGCCCTGAAATTTTAGAAAATAGTTTCTGAATTTTAAAATTGCTGGATTCATGCAGCCAGCATTGCAGGTTATCAGCGATCAAAGATTGTAATAATAATACATTTTGTAAATTATATGGAAAAGGTTATTTTTATATTATAAATTGTCTAATTGTCCATCCTAATTGTTTTGTTTTCATCTAGTTATGGAGATTCAGTAAGTGCCTTGGAACAATATTGAATTCTCTTAGCTCATGTGTGTTACTTTAATATTGGAACTCAACTGGGTTTAGAAGACTATCAAAATATTTGACCTGCCATTAAAAACAAAAACAACAATTTTACAGTGCAAAAAAAAATAAATAAAATAAAATTGTGGGAACCCACAAACATGCACGTGGGGCTGTGGAATTCTAGCCCAAAGATGGCCTTTGCCAGATGTGAACCTGTGACTTGGGCCAGAACTATGAACCCAAACCAGATGACCTCTGTAACTTACCCTGACCGTGTCACTGAGTCCCGAGGGGCCAGGCTGGGCAGACCATACCCCCTCCACGGGCCCTTTGCTCAAGTCCTCTGGGAGTCTGCATACCAAGTCCTCAGCTCCCAGACTCTGAGGCCTGGAGCCCTGTCCTCCCCTGCTGCCCCAGGCACAGACGCCTCCTAGCCTGAGGATGCCCATGCTCACAGGAGCTCCACTCATTAGGGGTGGCAGGCTCCGGAGATCACAGGACTGATAGGACTTAATAACTGGGAGGGGAGGGGGAAGATAGAGAGCTGGAGCCCAGAGACTAGTGGCTCAGCCTGTCATTCCAGCTATTTGAGAAGACAGGTGAGGAGGGCCAGGGTTTGAAGTCAGCCAGGACATCTCAACAAACAATCCAGACATGGCGGTGTGCGCCATGGGCAGTGTCATCCAAGAGACTTCAGAGGCATTGGTGGGAGGATGGCAGACGTAGGCAAAATGTGTGAGACCTTACCAAAAACAATAAAGTAAAAGGGCTGGAGACAGGGCTGGAAGAGCAGAGTATCTGTTTAGCGAGCCAGTCCGGCCAAAGGGCAAGGGCTCCAGGGCTCACAACTGCAATCCTAGCTACTCAGGAGGCTGAGACCTGAGGATGGAGGTTCAAGGCCAGCCGGGGCAGAAAAGTCCCTGTGAAACTCTTAGCTTCAATAAACAACTCAAAAACCAGACGTGGTGCTGTGGCTAAGGTGGTAAGAGCACAGGATGGCACCCAGCCCAGAAGTCAAGCCCCAAGACTGACCAAAAAAAAAAAAAAAAAGCCAGGGGCTGGGAAGGTGGCTCAGTGGTAGAGTGCTTGCCTTACATGCTTGAGGCCCTGGGTTCGATTCCTCAGCACCACATAAACAGAAAAAGCCGGAAGTGATTCTGTGGGCTCAAGTGGTCGAGTGCTCGCCTTGAGCTGAAGAGCTGAGGGACAGCGTCCAGGACCAGAGTTCAGGTCCACAACCAGCAAAAAAAAAAAAAGAAAAAGCCAGAAGTAGCTCTGTGGCTCATGTAGTAGAGCACTAGCCTTGAGCAAAAGAAGCTCAGGGACAGCACCCAGGCCCAGGACTGACAAAAACAGAAAGAAAAAAAAAACTGGGCACCAGTGGCTCATGCCTATAATCCTAGCCATGGAGGAGGCTGAGATCTGAGGATGATAGTTTGAAGCCCTCAGGCAGACAAATCCAGGATGTGGCTCAAAGGGTGGAGTGCCAGCCTGAGTGAAAAGCTGAGGGAAAGGAAGAGGCACTGAGTTCAAGCTCTAGTACTATTGCACTCGTGTGTGCACGCACACACAGGCACACAGGTACACAGGCACACGAGTACACACAAGACCATCTGGGTGAGTCTCCCAGGATGGCCCCTCCCTCTGGGGATGCTGGCGGTGGACAAGAAGAATGGGGCAGGCCCATCTCCCCCCACCACGAGGACAGCCTGCGATTCCAATCCAGCACACTAGCCTATCTTCTGGGCTCTCTGGAGCCCGGGCTGCGATTGAGCCTGTGGCAGGATGGGACCAGCAGCCTAGGAGTCTGGGAGATAATCAGTCCTGTGTGAATTTCTCTTGGCCTTTGGTTTAATCTGGGAAGGGGTCAGAGCCTCCACTCCCCCTGGCGCCTGACCTGAGGGCCGCAGACTGCAGGAGTGTCTTGCACAAGCACTGTACTGGTTGGGCCTCACCCCAGGACCTTTGGTTTGCATTTAGCTTTTGGGATAGGGTGTCCCTGAGTTCACCCAGCTGGCCTGGGACTCAAGGTGGCACACCACCACGCCTCTACAAAGGAAAGGGAGCGGTGTGTGGGAGAAGCCCAGTGCGGGGGGGGGGGGGGGGGGCTCATCTGAGGGCCAGGGGGCTGCGTCCTTGGGGGAGGGCAGCCCCCTCCCCTGGAGAGGCAGCCGCTTTCTTTTGTTTTTTGGTGGTGGTGGCGGTCGTTGGGCCTGAACTCTGGGCCCGGGCGCTGTCCCTCAGCCCTTCAGCTTTGGAGCTCCTGCCTGGGCTGGCTTCGAACTCGGATCCTCAGCGCCCGGCGGTTTTTGTTTTCTTCCGTTTTTTTTTTGGTCGGTCGTGGGTCTTGAACTCTGGGCCCGGGCGCTGTCCCAGCTCCCCAGCTCAAGGCGAGCGCTCCACCGCTTCAGCCACGGCGCCACTTCCGAGGCCGCACCAATCGAGAAACTCCCTGGTTTCCTTGGCTCGGACTAGTGACTGACGGACTGATGGACTGAACTGACGGACTGATTGCTGGATTGATCTATGGCCCCCTCCCCCGCTCCGCGCCCTCAGCTCCGCCCCCTCCCCCGCTCCGCCCCCTCCCCCGCTCCGCGCCCTCAGCTCCGCCCCCTCCCCCGCCCCGCCCCCTCCCCCGCTCCGCGCCCCCGGCTCCGCCCCCTCCCCCGCTCCGCGCCCTCAGCTCCGCCCCCTCCCCCGCTCCGCCCCCTCCCCCGCTCCGCGCCCTCAGCTCCGCCCCCTCCCCCCCTTCGCCCCCTCCCCCGCCCCCTCCCCCGCTCCGCGCCCCCGGCTCCGCCCCCTCCCCCGCTCCGCGCCCTCGGCTCCGCCCCCTCCCCCGCTCCGCGCCCTCAGCTCCGCCCCCTCCCCCGCTCCGCCCCCTCCCCCGCTCCGCCCCCTCCCCCGCTCCGCCCCCTCCCCCGCTCCGCGCCCCCGGCTCCGCCCCCTCCCCCGCTCCGCCCCCTCCCCCCGCTCCGCGCCCTCAGCTCCGCCCCCTCCCCCGCTCCGCGCCCTCCCCCGCTCCGCGCCCCCGGCTCCGCCCCCTCCCCCGCTCCGCCCCCTCCCCCGCTCCGCGCCCTCAGCTCCGCCCCCTCCCCCGCTCCGCGCCCTCGGCTCCGCCCCCTCCCCCGCTCCGCGCCCCCGGCTCCGCCCCCTCCCCCGCTCCGCGCCCCCGGCTCCGCCCCCTCCCCCGCTCCGCCCCCTCCCCCGCTCCGCGCCCTCAGCTCCGCCCCCTCCCCCCGCTCCGCGCCCTCAGCTCCGCCCCCTCCCCCGCTCCGCCCCCTCCCCCGCTCCGCGCCCTCAGCTCCGCCCCCTCCCCCGCTCCGCGCCCTCAGCTCCGCCCCCTCCCCCGCTCCGCGCCCTCAGCTCCGCCCCCTCCCCCGCTCCGCGCCCTCAGCTCCGCCCCCTCCCCCGCTCCGCGCCCCCGGCTCCGCCCCCTCCCCCGCTCCGCGCCCCCGGCTCCGCCCCCTCCCCCGCTCCGCCCCCTCCCCCGCTCCGCGCCCTCAGCTCCGCCCCCTCCCCCGCTCCGCGCCCTCAGCTCCGCCCCCTCCCCCGCTCCGCCCCCTCCCCCGCTCCGCGCCCTCAGCTCCGCCCCCTCCCCCGCTCCGCGCCCTCAGCTCCGCCCCCTCCCCCGCTCCGCGCCCCCGGCTCCGCCCCCTCCCCCCGCTCCGCGCCCTCAGCTCCGCCCCTTCCCCCGGCTCCCCGTCCCCCGGCTCCCCGTCCCCCGGCTCCCCGTCCCCCGGCTCCCCGTCCCCCGGCTCCGCGCCCCCCCGGCTCCCCGTCCCCCGGCTCCGCGCCCCCCCCCCCCCCCCCCCGGCTCCGCGCCCCCCGGCTCCGCCCCCTCCCCGGCTCCGCCCCCGGCTCCGCCCCCGGCTCCGCCCCCGGCTCCGCGCCGCCCCCCTCCCCGTCGAGGCGGGGCGCCGGAGCCCGTCGAGGAGTCCGCGTCTTCCTGCGCGTCACGTCCGGCCCTAGGCCCCGGGGTGTCGGGGATCTGAGCCCCCGAGCCCGGCCGGCGGGCGCCCCGTCAAGCCCGGGTGCCGCGGGCCCCAGGACGCGCGGGGAGTCCCGCGGCGGCGGCGCCGCGGGCCGGGCGGCTGGGCCGGTGGATGAGCGGGGCCCGCGGTCGTCAGCCCGCGCCGGGCCGCCCTGGCGGAGCCGCGCGCCCCGCCGCGCCGGGGGCCGCGCCCGGAGGCCCAGCCTGGGCCCGCGCCCGCCTCCGCGCACCGGGCGGCGGGGACGGCGGGGCGCGCGGCGGCGGCGGCGGCGGCGGCGGGCGGACGGCCGCGGAGACGCCGGGACCGGAAGACGCAGGTTAGACGCGGCCGGCGCCGGGCCCCGCCGTTCCCCCTTCCCCCCCCCTCCCCCCGCCGCTTAGGCCCCGCCGTCCCCCCCCCTCCCGGCACCCAGGCCCGCCGTCCCCCCTCCCCTCCCGCCGCCCGGGCCCCACTGTCCCCCCCCCCCCCGCCCCCCGCCGCTCAGGCCCCGCCGTCCCCCCGCTGGGGCTCCCCGTCCCTGCCGCCCAGGCTCGGGGCTCTGTGAGTTCTGAAGCCAGAGAATAAAACAAACGGGAGGATGGCGGTGAGGGGGGGAGGCCGGGCAGGGGGGGTGGGGTGGGGAGGCCAGGGCGGTCTCCAGGCCCATCTCCAGTATGACAGCTGGCCAGCGATGCGACATGGTAGAGGTGAGGTGCATGGTGGAGGGCCGTCTGGCTGAGGCAGAGCATGCATGTACAGCCTGCGTGTGCAGACCTGCGCGTACAGACCCTGTGCGTGCACAGCCTGCCTGTGCAGACTTGCGTGTGCAGACCTGCGTGTGCAGGCCTGTGTGTGCAGACCTGTGTGCAGAGCTTGCGTGTATACACCTGCGTGTACAAACCCTGTGCGTGCACAGCCTGCCTGTGCAGACTTGCCTGTGCAGACCTGTGTGCAGAGCCTGCGTGTGCAGACCTGCCTGTGCAGACCTGTGTGCAGAGCCTGCGTGTATACACCTGCGTGTACAGACCTTGTGCGTGCACAGCCTGCCTGTGCAGACCTGCGCATGCAGACCTGCCTATGTAGACCTGCGTGTGCAGACCTGTGTGCAGAGCCTGCGTGTGCAGATTTGCCTGTGCAGACCTGTGTGCAGAGCCTTCGTGTATACACCTGCGTGTACAGACCTTGTGCGTGCACAGCCTGCCTGTGCAGACTTGCCTGTGCAGACCTGTGTGCAGAGCCTGCGTGTGTACACCTGCGCATACAGACCCTGTGTGTGCACAGCCTGCCTGTGCAGACCTGGGAGTGCAGAGCCTGCGTGTGCAGACCCTGTGCGTGCAGACCTGTGTGTGCAGACCTGCGCATACAGCCTGCGTGCGCAGACCTGCGTGTACAGACCCTGTGCGTGCACAGCCTGCCTGTGCAGACCTGCGCGTGCAGATCTGTGTGTGCAGACCTGCGTGTGCAGAGCCTGTGTGTGCAGACCTGTGTTTTCAGACTTGCGCGTGCAGAGCCTACATGTGAAGAGCCTGCTTGTGCACACCTGTGTGTGCAGAGCTTGCGTGTGCGGAGCTTGCGTGTGAAGACCTGTGTGCAGAGCCTGCGTGTGCAGACATGCGTGTGCAGAGCCTGCGTGTGCAGACTTGTATGTGCAGAGCTTGCGTGTGCAGAGCTTGCGTGTGCAGGCCTGAGAGTGCAGAGGCAGACCTGCTCTGCTGCTTGTGAAGTGACTTCGCACAGGATGCCAGGTCCTTCTGGAGACAGGCTAAGGAGAAGGGAGCCATTGAAAGGGGGAAGGAACATTAAGGGAGGAAGCAGGCTTGTGAGTAGGAATAGGGGCAACTCCACAGGAGCAAGGGAGGGCAAGATGCTGTCTGGGAAGAAATGTACTCTTGTTGGTTGTTGTCCCGGGGCTTGAACTCAGGGCCTGGGCGCTGTCCCTGAACTTCTCTTGCTCAAGGCTAGCGCTCTACCACTTGAGCCACAGCAACACTTCTGGCTTTTTCTGTGTATGTGGTGCTGAGGAATTGAACCCAGGGCTTCATGCATGCTAGGCAAGCACTCTACCACTGAGCCACCTTCCCAGCCCACAGGATCCGTTGTTAATGTCGATAAAATAAAAAATGCTGGAAGGGGAGGCAGGGATGGGAATCACTTCCTGAGCTGACTGTGGCTAGTAATGTGCTGTTTGCTGAGACTTCAGGCCCAGCAAAATCAGCTGGCTCTGTAGGAGGTCATGAAAGTTTGCCCTTTCCATCGGTGACAGACTTCTGTCAGGATCAATGCATGTGCCTACCCTGAGCTCCTTAGCCTGGGCACATGGACTTCCAGCTTCTCCGTTTTAAAAGCAGACCTGGGTGAGGCCGGGGCATTCTCCAGGTGACTCTGGAGGTAAACCAGAGGTGGAACCTTTGGATTCCACTGTGTAGGATTTGTGCTTCCATATATTTTTGTCTAAAATGCCCTGCTGACAGTTTGAACCATGCCAATTCTGGGGCTTGAACTTAGGGCCTGGGCATTTCTCCCCAACCTTTTTTCCTCAAAGCTGGTGCTTAACCACCTGAGCCACCGTTCTATTTCCAGCTTTTCTGGTGGCTGAATGGAGATAAGAGTCTCATAAACTTTCCTGCCTGGGCTGGCTTCAAACCCACCCTCTGATCTCAGCCTCCTCCTAGTTAGGATGGCAGTGTCAACTGCCAGTGTGCCGGGCTGCTCCAGAGCCTGTTAACCTAGAATTAAGGAAACTGAAAGTCCGATGGGTTTTACAAAAATGACAGTTTGCCTGTACTCTGGTTGACAGTTGGAGGGAGCAGCGTTCGGGTGTCTCTGGGGCCCGGTGTCTTCCCTGTGCTTCTGAGCCCTGCACGTGACGCTGGGTGCACACTGCTCAGGAGAGGAGGCTTCTCCTGACCCAGGGTCAGAAGGGCACCCAGGCAATGAAGCTTTTATCTGTGCTGGATGTACTTTAACATCTGCGAGGTTGGCGATGACTCAAACCTTTATGGTCAGTGAGCCACACCCCCAAGTTCAAGTTCAGCTGCGCAGTGTGTTTCCAGGCCCATGCAGGTGCACGCAGCCACCGGTTCTTCAGAGCGCTTGATGTCTGTTCCCCGATCAATGCCGACCCTTGGTCTTTTGCAGGATAAGAATTGCTTTTCTCTGAGAGCAACTAAGAAAGAACAGACTGGAAAGCCGGGAACCAGGACTGGGTGAGTGATTCACCCTTCAGCCCCCAGGGTTCTCTGCCTGCTCAGTGTCTGCTGCGGACACGGGGGGGGGGGGGGGGGGGGGGGGGGGGGCTGGGCGTGGGCCGTTTCTCAAGCATGAGCAGCCCCAGGGTTCACTTGGCCAGGGCCGGGGGAGAACCGGTATGACTGTGGTGGGAAGCCTGTGAGATGCCCTGTGCCCCCAGTGCCCCTCTGCCCGGTGGTTCCACCCGGGCCTTGCTGGAGCAGGAGTGAGGCGTGTCTCAGGTGAGGTGATAAAGAGTCTGATGAGCGGTGCTGCCGGTTTTGAGGTTGCTGGTGGAGGAGCCGGGGAGCCTCCCCCCCCCCCCGCACCCCCAGAGCGGCAGCCTGCCTCTGCGTAGTCCGTCTGAGTAACTCCCAGACCAGCCAACAGCCGAGCCACAGCTTCCTGGGAGATTTCAGCCAGAGGTTCTGCAAGTGTACCCCAGTTCCTGCCCCTGAGACGCAGGCTGTGAGCCGGTGAGAGAGAAGGCCTCTGTTCACACCCCAGTACCAAAGTAACACAAAAAAAGTTCTGAGTTTAGCCACTACGGGTTTTTTTTAGTCCAGAATGAGTCAGTACACTAGGGCTTTGGTTGAAGTTCTCTTTTCCTACCTCAGGCCAGGAAGACATTTTTCTTCATTTTTTCCTTAAAGTATCAAAACTTAAAAGTTTTAAAGGGCTGGGAAGGTGGTTCAGTGGTAGAGCACTTGGCTTACATGCCTGAGGCCCTGGGTTCGATTCCTTAGCACCACATAAGCAGAATTTAAAAAAAGCCAGAAGTGGCGCTGTGGCTCAAGTGGTAGAGTGCTAGCCTTGAGCTGAAGAGCTGAAGGACAGCGCCCAGGCCCAGAGTTGAGGCCCCATGACCGGACCCAAAAAAAAAAAAAAGTTTTAAAATTTAGGTGGGTGCTGGTGGCTTACGCCTGTCATCCAAGCTACCCAGGAGGCTGAACTCAGGATCATGGTTCAAAGCCAGGCTGGGCAGGAAACGCAGTGAAACTCTTATCTCCAATAAACCACTCAGAAAACTGGAAGTGGTGCTGTGGCTCAAATGGTAGAGCGCTCTTCTTAAGCTGAAGAGCTGAGGGACAGTATCCAGGCCCAGAGTTCAAGACCCACCACCAACCAAAAAAAAAAAAAAGTTTTAAAAATTTGGGGCTGGAAGTTGGCTCAATGGTAGAGTGCTCGCCTTGCATGCATGAGGCCCTGGGTTCAATTCCTCAGCACCACATAAGCAGAAAAGCCAGAAGTGGCGCTGTGGCTCAAGTGTTAGAGCGCTAACCTTGATCTGAAGAACTGAGGGTCAGTGCCCAGGATCAGAGTTCAAGCCCCACGACCAACAAAAAAAAAAACCAAAAAGTTTTAAAGTCCAGTACATTTTCAGGAGCCAGCTTGAGAGCGGCGCTTCCCCAGCCCACTGCCCCTGACCTGCTGGGAGCTGTCTCTTCTGGTGAGTCAGGTAGAACCTTGTGTGTGTGCACGTGCACAGGCCCTCATGCCTGTGAGTGTACCAGCACTGGGGTTGAACGCCAGGCTTTACATTCTTCCTTAAGTTTTTTGCTCCAGGCTAGTGCTCTTTCACTTGAACCAGAGCTCCACTTCCAGAAGGCTTTTGGTGGTTAACTGGAGATAAGTGTGTCTCATGGAAGTTCCTGCCAGGCTGAACCTTGATCCTCAGATCTCAGCTCCTGAATTGTTAGGATTACAGATGGAGGCCCTGATAGAATCTTCCAAGAATGACTGTTAGGACCATCTGAGCCAGTGTGTGACTCAGTGTCGATGGGCTGCTGGGTGGGAGCTCTAGAACCACAAACAACCAAGCAAGCTGAGACGGCATTACCAGGTTAAGTATTGAGTGTTGCCACACTTACTAGTCTGTGGCCTTTTTTTGTGACAAGGTCTTGGCTGAGGCCTAGGCTGACTTGACCTTACATTCCTCCATCCACTCCCCTTGCCCGCCTCCCTCCCACAGCACCCCCGCTTAGCTCTGGGCAGATCTGTCCTGGCTCTGTGCACCGATAGGATTTCCCCTTGTGTGGGGACCTGTGGTCTGTCCCGTGTGGGGAACTGTGGTCTATCCTGTGGGACCTGTGCTCTGTCCTGTGTGGGGAACTGTGGTCCGTCCCATGTGAGGACCTGTGGTCCGTCCTGTGCCATCCTGTGTGGGACCTGTAGTTTGCCCTGTGGTGACCTGTGGTCTGTTTCATGGGACCTGTGGTTCATCCTGTGTGAGGGCCTGTGGTCTGTCGTATGTGGGACTGTGACTTGTCCTGTGGCCCCTGTGCTCCTCCCCTCGATGATCTGTGTGCCATCTAGATTCAAGGCCTTCCTTCACCTTGCTGGTCTCTGGTTTCTTTTCTTTCTGCAAATGATTTTCACGTAATCCACTTAAAACATGTTGTGATTCCAAGTTATAGTTTCAGGACTGGGAAGGTGGCTCAGTGGTAGAGCGCTTGCCTTGCATGCATGAGGCCCTGGGTTCGATTCCTCAGCACCACATAAGCAAAAAGAAAAAAGCCGGAAGTGGCTCTGTGGCTCAAGTAGTAGAGCGCTAGCCTTGAGCTGAAGAGCTGAGGGACAGCGCCCAGGCCCAGAGTTCAGGCCCCACGACTGGACCCAAAAAAAAAAAAAACAAGTTATAGTTTCATCAGTTCTGAAATTTAGCATTCATCTTTTGTGTGTGTATGCCAGTATTGGGGCTTGAACTCGGGTACTCAAGTTCTTGCTTAGCTTTTTCATTCAAGGTTGATCTTCTACCACTTAAGCAATAGCTCCACTTGCAGCTTTTTGGTGATTAATTGGAGATAAGTATCCCACAGACTTTTCTACTCAGGCTGACTTTGAACCAAGATCCTCAGATCTCAGCCTCCTGAGTTGCTAGGATTACAGGTGTGAGCCACTGGTGCCTGGTTGGTAGTTGATTTTTGTTTTTTGTTTTTGCCAGTCTTGGGGCTTAAACTCAGGGCCTGAGCACTGTCCCTGAGCTTCTTTGGCTCAAGGCTAGTGCTCTACCATGTGAGCCACAGCGCCATTTCCAGCTTTTCCTGTGTGTGTGGTGCTGAGGAATGGAGCCCAGGGCTTCATGCGTGCGAGGCAAACACTCTACCATTGAGCCATGTTCCCAGCCTTGGTGGTTTCACCTTTGACCACCAGGTCATGGCAGTGTTTGTTTCTCCAGGGTGAGGTCATGCTTTCCGCCTTCTTTTTTGTTGTTGTTGGTGGTGGTCATGGGGCTTGAACTCTGGGCCTGGGCATTGTCCCTCAGCTCTTCAGCTCAAGGCGAGCACTCTACCGCTTGAGCCACAGCGCCACTTCCGGTTTTTCTGGTGGTTTATTGGAGATAACAGTTTCACGGACTTTCCTGCCCGGGCTGGCTTTGAACCGAGATCCTCAGATCTCAGCCTCCTGAGTAGCTGGGGTGACAGGCGTGAGCCACTGGCGCCCGGTGCTTCGCCCTTCTTAACAAGGAAACAGTTTGCTGGTTTGCCACTGAACTTCGTGGGCACTCCCTTCCAGCCTGCAGAGTTAGTTCTGATGGCTTCTCCTGCTGGTGTGTTCTGTCCTGTCTGTGTGCAGCTCTGGGGGCTGCAGACCTCCAGCCATCATCCTGGCTCATGGCCAGGATCATCCTGGAGCCACAGGCAACTGAAGCAGTACCCTCCATCTCAGATCCTCATCACTGGTCTGTGTCTGCCAGGTCCTCAGTCCTGATCTCGATTTGCATGTTTCCTGTCTGACCCTGTTGGGTCTGCTGCTAGCTGCTGTGGTTGGTGGGGTCACCCTGGTCAAGGCCGCAGAGCAGTCTGATGCCCACACCTCCTCCCCTGCTCCATGTCAGGATGTGATGAGCTCTGAGTGCCCCGTAGCGCCCTGGGACTGAGACTCCTCACGTGACCAGGGTCACGTGGGGGGGGGCTTCCAGGGCATTCACCCGCTCTGGTAGCTGGGACTGAGACTCCTCACTTGACCAGGGTCACGTGTAGGGGGGGGCTTCCAGGGCACTCACCCGCTCTGGTAGCTGGGACTGAGACTCCTCACTTGACCAGGGTCACGTGTAGGGGGGGGCTTCCAGGGCACTCACCCGCTCTGGTAGCTGGGACTGAGACTCCTCACGTGACCAGGGTCACGTGGGGGGGGGGGCTTCCAGGGGCATTCACCCGCTCTGGTAGCTGGGACTGAGACTCCTCACGTGACCAGGGTCACGTGGGGGGGGGGCTTCCAGGGGCATTCACCCGCTCTGGTAGCTGGGACTGAGACTCCTCACGTGACCAGGGTCACGTGTAGGGGGGGGCTTCCAGGGCACTCACCCGCTCTGGTAGCTGGGACTGAGACTCCTCACTTGACCAGGGTCACGTGTGGGGGGGCTTCCAGGGCACTCACCCGCTCTGGTAGCTGGGACTGAGACTCCTCACTTGACCAGGGTCACATGTGGGGGGGGCTTCCAGGGGCATTCACCCGCTCTGGTAGCTGGGACTGAGACTCCTCACTTGACCAGGGTCACGTGTGGGGGGGGGGCTTCCAGGGGCAATCACCCGCTCTGGTAGCTGGGACTGAGACTCCTCACGTGACCAGGGTCACGTGTGGGGGGGGCTGCCAGGCCATTCACCCGCTCTGGTAGGGAGCAGATGCCCCCACCCGTGAGATTGCGTGCCTGTTGTCCAAGGCCCTTTGTGTCTGTTTGTGCAGGTAAAACTGGGTCTTTTTTTTGGTCAGTTGTGGGGCTTGAACTCTGGGCTTAGGCACTGTCCCTGCGCTCTTCAGCTCAAGGAAAGCACTCTACTGCTTGAGCCACAGCGCCATTTCCGGTTTTCGAGTGGTTTATTGGAGATAACAGTTTCATGGACTTTCCTGCCTAGGCTGGCTTTGAACCGAGATCCTCAGATCTCAGCCTCCTCAGTAGCTAGGATTACAGGCATGAGCCACCGGTGCCCAGCAGGTTGTGGCTGTTGTATCAGTACTGGGACCTGAACTCAGGGTTTCTTGCTTTCCCTTGGCTTTGTCATTCTACTTCTACTTTGGCACTCTACTTCCGAGCCGTCCCTTGACTTTGCCAGTTGGTTGGAGGGAAGAGTCCCTCCAACCTAGTCATCCCTCAGAGTGCTCTGCTAGTTTTCTCTCTGGTTCGCTGTTACCCGCCTGGACTCAGGGGGAGGGGTTTGAAGTCTGGAACCCTTCTTTCCTGCCTTGTGGAACACTGGAACCAGACTTGCGGTTACAGCATCTTGGTTGACTTTCTTCCTTTCTGGGCTTTCCTTTTCTTTCTTTCTTTTTTTTTTCCCCCTTCGGTCCTGAGGCTTCAACTCTGGGCCTGAGCAGTGGTCTCTGAGCTTCTTTTGCTCAAGGCGAGCACTCTACCACTTGAGCCACAGCGCCACTTCCAGCTTTTTCTGCTTATGTGATACTGAGGAACGGAACCCAGGGCCTCATGCATGCAAGGCCAGCGCTCTGCCACTGAGCCCCAGGTTGTTGAACTTTCACCTGGGGCCTGGCCCCTTTGTTCTGTGCCTGGCTGAAGCTTTAGGTGTTCCCTTAATGCACATCTGAAGTCTGGGGCCTCTGCAGGTTTGTGTGTGTGCGGGGATGCTCAGCCACCCTGCAGCCTGTCTTACAGGGGTCTGGGGTGCTGGGGCACCAACGTTCTGTTGTGTGCATATCCTGCAGGGTACACATGGCCTGCGGGACCAGGAGAAGAGGAAGTGTGTGGTGTGAAGCAGGAACAGGTCCAGGTCATAGACTGGTTCAGACACCTGGGTACCAGTTCAGACACCTGGGTACCAGTTGCTTAAGCCTAATTCCAGCAAGGGCAGAACAGGAGGGCTGCTCTACACCTGGGCAGTGCCTCCTCAGAGACATTGTAACAGAGGCCTGAGCACTCTTGTGTGAGCCTTTGACCCAATGCACAGCACTGGTCTAGAAAGTCGCAGAAAGCAACTGGGACACCTGGAAGAGGTCACATCTGCATCCATCTGATGTGGCCATACCTTTCTCCCACCTGGTCCCACCTCTTACCTGGTCCCACTTCCCTTTACCTGGACACACCTTTCCCCACCCCTGCCCTATATAAGGTCTAACCCGGGGCCAGACGCTCTCTTTTGCCAGCCGAGTGGAGTGCCAACCTTGCCTGGTCCCAGCAGGTCTACTGAATAAACCTACCCCTTACCTGAAAAAAAAAAAAAAGAAAGAAAGTCAATTCTGGGCCTGTAGCATATCCCAAACCATCTTGAGAGATTGTTGTCCAAGTATTGGGACCCCACATCTCCAGGGCTGCTAGGAAAATGGCCCTGCAAATGAGGGGCCCACCCTGAGACTGTTGATCATAGGTGAACAGTGCATTATCAGAGGCCACACCTTAAAGATGTGGAGCTGGGAAGGTGGCTCAGTGGTAGAGTGCTCGCCTCACATGCATGAGGCTCTGGGTTCCATTCCTCAGCACCACATAAGCAGAAAAAGCTGGAAGTGGTGCTGTGCCTCAAGTGATAGAGCACTAGCCTTGAGCTGAAGAGCTGAGGGACAGTGCCCAGGCCCAGAGTTCAGGCCCAACAACTGGCAAAAAAAAAAGGCAGATCTGAGAAAAATGGACGGGTTTGCCATAGATCCAGACAGGACCTCTGCAGGTGGCAGATGCAGCGGCTGAAGTTAACTCTGTCCCTCCCACTGTGAGCCTCTGAACAAAATGTCTGGAGGACATGAAAAGTGAAGGCCCAGTGCTGGAGGGCAGAGCGCTGCTGGTTAAGACCAGGTGGCAGAGCCACTGGGTGGAAAAATGCGCCCCAGAGCCTCAGGCCCTTTAGAGCGGGGCAGGGCCTCTGGGCCCGGCCTGCTGTGGCGGGGAAGGGTGAGGACGGGGACAGGACCTGGGGACCCCGGCTGCTTCTTTGCAGGGCAGGCTGTCTACCTCTTATACCACCCCAGACCCCTATTTGTGCTTTTGAAACTAGCTCACGTTGATGACTGAAACTCTGAGTAACACTGACCATTCAGCTTCAGTAACGGGTCTCCTTTTCTTACCGTTGCAGCCTGAATGTTCATTCACACTTCCCGGGGCCATGGTCCTGCAGGCTGGGACTCACGCCTGACTCATGCCGTCTGCCCCTGAGCTCCACCCCTCAGCCCAGGCCTCGGCATGGCGTCCTCCACAAAGCCTCAGGTGCTGCCAGAGGTGGTGCCTGGCTCTGAGGAGGAGCAGAAGGGGAAGCCTCTGGGCTCCTGGGGCTCTCTTTTTGGCCACCGGAGTGAGAAGGTTGTGTTTGCGAAGGGCGGGGCCCCGGAGGAGAGCCTGCTCACCGTCACCCTCACCGAGACCACCGTCATCGAGTCGGGCCTGGGCGTGTGGAGCTCGCGGGCGCTCCTCTACCTCACGCTCTGGTTCTTCTTCAGCTTCTGCACGCTCTTCCTCAACAAGTACATCTTATCCCTGCTGGAGGGGGAGCCCAGCATGCTAGGTACAGTGACGGCTGGGGCCTGGGCAGCTGCCTCTGACCCGGGGCGGAGGTCCCCCAGGTGCTGTTCCCAGCCTGCTCGTCCCCCTCCCCAGGCGCTGTGCAAATGCTGTCCACCACACTCATCGGATGTGTCAAGATATTTGTCCCTTGCTGCTTGTATCAGCACAAGCCCCGGCCCTCGTACCCGCCCAACTTCATCATGACCATGCTCTTCGTGGGCCTGATGAGGTAAGGAACGCCACCTTCGGGTGAATGTCCATTGCTTCTCAGATAGGAAAAGTGTTTCTGGTCTCTGCTTGTGCTGACAGACCAGGCTCAAGCTCCTGGGTGTAGAGGGCACGCTGGGGCCCTCACAGAGCGGGCAGGCGTGGAGTTACAGGGGGTCACAGGTGTGCAGGCGTGGGGTTACAGGGGGTCACGGGGCATGCAGGTGTGGCTCCCAGGGGGTCACGGGGCATGCAGGTGTAGGGCTCCCTGGGGTTTACTTCTATGAGTCCTGGTGCCACATGGATTTATGCAGACTTTCTGGACGCCTTGGAGGTGGTATTGTAACTGCAGTGGGGGGGGGGGGGGTGACCAGGCCCCGCACCTCTAAGCAGTGTAGTCACCTTCACGTTGCGCAGCTACCCTTGGAGCTGAAGGCCAGGCCTCCACACATGGAGGGAGGGCCAAGGTGGCGGAATACCAACCAGAGGGCCCACAGGCTGGAGCTAACGCTTGGGGCCTCTCTCCTGTGTGCTGTGTGTGTGCGTGTGCACACACCAGTACTGGAGCTTGAACTCGGCCTCACACTCTCACTTGGCTTTTTTACTCAAGGCTGGCACTCTATCATTTGGGTTACACTTCCACTTAATTGGAGATGAATGTCGTGGACCTCTGCCTGGGCCGGCTCTGAAGCACGACCCTCACTCAGGTCTTGCCTCCTGATAGCTAGGATCGCCGTGTGAGCCAGAGCCGCCCTGTGTGGACAGGCTCATCCTCACGCTGCTTTTGCTTTGAGGTTTGCGACCGTGGTGTTGGGGCTGGTGAGCCTGAAGAACGTGGCGGTTTCCTTCGCTGAGACAGTGAAGAGCTCCGCGCCCATCTTCACGGTGATCCTGTCTCGGATGATCCTGGGGGAGTACACAGGTGTGGACCCCCTGCGCCCCCTCCTCCCTAGCCCACCAGCTCCTCGGGCCTGGCCGGCTGCTCCGGGCCCCATCCGCTCCTCCTGGGGCAGCCCCAGGGGGAAGCTCAGACCTTGTCCGAAAAACAAGCTTTAGAAGCACCAGGTTGTGGGCCAGTCTGTGGATGGAGCTGCAGGTCTGTCCTGTCCTGCAGGGGTAGAGATGGGGACAGTCGCACTCCTGGGGTGGGCTGCAGCGGCACCTGCGTGTTTTGCCTTTCCCAGGGCTGCTGGTCAACCTGTCCCTTGTCCCTGTGATGGGGGGGCTGGCGCTGTGCACTGCCACTGAGCTGAGCTTCAACGTCCTGGGGTTTTCGGCTGCGTTGTCCACCAATGTCATGGACTGGTGAGTCACGGGAGGGGCACAGGCTTTCCTGCTCCTGCGCTGGGCCCAGGAACACTCAGTGCAGACAAGTCAGCCACGCCTGTGATGGACCAGGCTCCCCTGCCGTGGCCCGGACTTGGTGCACAGTCCTGAGACCTTGAATGCTGACGGCACAGTGTACGCGTAGCCTTACTAAGTACACGTGTATGTCCAACACACACAGAACCAGCATGGCAAGTGGGGCGCTGGTGGCTCACACCTCTAGTCCCAGCTACTCGGGAAGCTACCTGTTCCAGGCTAGCTTGGGCAGAAGTCCTCTGAGACCCCTTCTCAACCAAGACCTCAGCCTGGTGGTGCACACCTGCCATCCCGCTACACGAGAGACCAAGAGTAGGAGGCCCGTGGTTCCAGAACAGCCTAGCAAAAACATTGATTAGACTGTCTCAGTGGAAGAGGGGTGGTGACGCATGCTTGTAATTCTAGCTCCTATAGAAAGCATAAAAGACATTCAGTCATATGATCAGACAAAAGGCAAATCCCTATCTAAAAAATAACCAGTGCAAGCTGGGCACTGGTGGCGCACCGGTGGCTCATGCCTGTAATCCTAGCTACTCAGGAGGTTGAGGTCTGAGGATTTCAGTTCAAATCCAGGCTAGACAGCCAAGTCTGTATCACTCTTACCTCTAGTTAACTAGCAAATAAGCAAGAGTTGTGGCTCCTATGGTAGAGCACCAGCCTTGAGAAGAGAAAGCTCTAAGGGGCAGTGCTCAGGCTCTGAGTTCAAGCCCCAGTACTTACACCAAAACAGTGTGAAGAAGAGCTGGAGGCATGGCTCAGGTAGAGTGCCTGCGTAGCAAGCACCAGGCCCTGAGTTCACACCCTTCCGCCCCCAGAGGGGCAGCCAGGCATGGGCCTCGCCCTCGCCCCATGCTGGACACATCCAGCCTAGGTCCGCAGGCCGGCCGGCACGTCCACACTCCTGCATGACCTCTTCTCTGTTCTAGCTTGCAGAATGTCTTCTCAAAAAAGCTCCTGAGTGGGGACAAGTACAAGTTCTCGTGAGTGTCTTCCGGGGAGGCTCGTGGGTGGGTGTCCCCCCCGTGAAGGCTCCGGGTGCCCAGTATAAACACCTGAGCTGCCTCCTACTTGGCGTAGGGAGCAGCCTGGGCTGGCACCACCAGCTGCTCTGTGCTGGCCCTTCCCTTCCTTGTCCCGGGGCGTGGGCCCGGGGCATTCCTGGTGCAGGCGGGCGGGTGGGCGCGCGCTGGGGCATTCTGGTAGAGTGACGCCCCCACAGGGCCCCGGAGCTGCAGTTCTACACCAGCGCAGCCGCCACGGCCATGCTCATCCCTGCCTGGATCTTCTTCATGGTGGGTTTGACCACTGTTCCTCTGGCTCTCGGGGTGCACAGCTGGTTGTGGGGAGGAAAACACAGCTGGGAGGCTCTTAGGCAACTGCGTCCCTGCCGGTCTGTGGTGGTTTGCTGAGATTGATGTGCAAGGGTTTTTTTAGGTTTGCTTACCTTACTATTATCTTATTATTACCTTATTGTTGGGCTTGAACTCAGTGCTTGGGCACTGTCCCTGCGCTTGTGTGCTCAAAGCTAGCGCTTTACCACTGAGCCACAGCTCCACCTTGGGCTTTTTTTATAGTTATTTGGCAATAAGAGTCTCACGGACTTTTCCTGTCTGTGCTGGCTTTAAATTGCAGTCCTCAGATCTCAGCCTCCCAAGTAGCTGGGATTACAGGCATGAGCCACTGGAGCCTGGCTGTTTAGGTTTTGGGGAGCTCTTATACTCCCTGCAGGTGGCCATACCCTTTCACCCCACCAGGGCCAAGGGATCACCATTTCCCCAGGTCCTCATTAATGCTTGTTTTCTGCCTTTTTCTTTTCTTTTTTTTTCTTTTTATGTATCCATCCTAGGGGTTTGAACTCAGGGCCCAGGTGCTATCCCTGATCTTTTTTGTTCAAGGCTGGCTCTCTACCACTTGAGCCCCAGTTCCACTTTTGGCTTTCTGGTGGTTTAAATGGAGATAAGACTTTCGTGGACTCTCCTGCCTGGCCTGGCTTTTAAACTGTGATCCTCAGATCTCAGCCTCCTGAGTAACTGGGATTACAGGCAGGAGCCACCAGTTCCTGGCTGCTTGTTTGTTTGCATTTTGTTTGGTCTTCTAGAGGACAAAGTTTTGGTATGCGATCCAGGTTGGCCTTGAACTCACAGTCCTGCCTCAGCCTCCCAGGGTGCATGCAGTACCTGGTTTGTTTTCCACAGCAACTGTCCTAAAAGTATGCAGTGGGTTTGTTTGGTTTAGTTTTTTTGTCAGTCGTGGGTCTTGAACTCTGGGCCTGGGTGCTGTCCCTGAGCTCTTCAGCCCAAGGCTAGTGCTCTACTGCTTGAGCCATAGTGCCACTTCTGGTTTTCTGGTGGTTTATTGGCGATTAGAGTCTCAGGGACTTTCCTGCCTGGGCTGGCTTTGAACCGTGATCCTCAGATCTCAGCCTCCTGAGTAGCTAGGATGACAGGCGTGAGCCACTGGTGCCCAGCATCAGTGCAGTTTTTATTATACTCTGGGCCACGCACGTTGAGAGTCCTGGTAAAGGCCGTTGGGCTGTCACCCTAACGGTCACCTGCAGCGCTCTCCTCAACGTCACTGGCTTCACCTGACTGCTTGGTGTTGGTGACGTGGCCCCTCCCTGGCGGGGTGTACCAGTGCGCACAGGCCAGCGCCGCATCCTTGTATTCTGGCTTTAGGATGTGCCTGTGATTGGGAGGAGTGGGAAGAGCTTCAGCTACAGCCAGGACATTGTGCTGCTGCTGCTGACAGACGGCGCCCTGTTCCACCTCCAGAGCGTCACCGCCTATGCCCTCATGGGGAAGATCTCCCCAGTGACCTTCAGGTGGGCACGGGGCATCCCCGGGGTCTGCAGGGAAGGCTAACATGTGGGCGTTTTCATGAAAGCTATCCAGGGTTCTTCCATAGTGCTAACTGGCCACCCAGCACAGGTGCAGTGGGTCTTCAGAGGAGCCCTATGAGGAGTCAGCATGGGACAGGTTCCTGGTCCTCGAGTACCACTCTGTGAAGTGCTGCCCACTACTATCTCTGCTGATGCTGCCCACGCCACAGCCGCTGGCCACATTGGCCAGAGAGTAATTTGTTCAGTTACTCTTGGTTCTAGCGCTGGAGATTGAACTCAGGGCTTTGGACTCTCCAGGCAGACACTCTGCCACTCAAGCCACATCTCCAGCCCCTCTTTTCATTGGTTATTCTCAAGGCAGGATCTCACAGGAGGCGTGGCCAGACTCAGCTGTGGGCCTTCTGCCTCTGCTGCCCTGGCTGGCTGGCAGTGAGGCCCGGGCCACCGTGCCCAGCCATTGTGCTTCTGTTGTATCTGGGGACACCAGAGTGTCTGTTTGCCCAGCTAATCAGTTGAGATGGAGCTTCTGCAACTGTATTCCTGGGCTGGCCTCAAACCAAGATGTCTGGCTCTCCACTTCCCCAGTAGCTAGGCCCACAGGCTGGAGCCACCAGTCCTGAAAGATAGATCTTTTATTGTTTTTCATCAATTTATATGTGGGTGATGTGAGTGGCCAGTGCTGGCCTCTGGAAGCCCGTCCGCCCGTGCCGCTCTCTTGCTGGGACAGGTCCCATCCCACAGGTATGCGTCTTCCAGCAGCAGTTAGATGGAGGTACTCTTGTCGTGAGGGCTGATCCCTGGCTCTGTCCTGCTCTGTTGGTGGACCTGATTTTTTAACCTTCAAACTGTCATGGGGAGGTGGGGAGGACAATGGGGAGGTAGATGAGGACTTCTGGAATGTGCAGACAGTGCACGTGATGGCCAAGCTGCTGCCCGGCCAGCAGTGGACACTCAGGGCTGCCCCCCCCCCCCCCGCCCCCAATCCCTGAACTCCCATCTAGCTGGGTCACACGGTGCCTGAGGCCACCTCAGGAGATGTCAGGGAGGAGACCCCTTTCCCCAACAGGCTCATGATTCTAAAACTTGGATCTTCAGTATTGATCATTCCTAAACAATATAACAGCTATCTACGTAGCATTTGTGTTTTATTAGCATTTTATATTGTTTAGGGATTGATGACAGGAAAAAGATCTGTATATGCTTCAGGTGGCTGGAACAGCGGGATTTTGAGTTTGAGGCTCAGACTGAGCTATGTAGGGAGACCCTATCTCAAAAAATAGAGAAGGGCTGGGAATGTGGCTCACTGGTAGAGCATTTGCCTTGCATGCATGAAGTCCTGGGTTCAATTCTTCAGTCCTACATAAATGGAAAAAGCCAGAAGTGGTGCTGTGACTCAAGTGGTAGAGTGCTAGCCTTGAACAAAAGAAGCTCAGGGAGGGGGTTGGGAAGGTGGCTCAGTGGTAGAGCGCTTGCCTCGCATGCATGAGGCCCTGGGTTCGATTCCTCCACCACATAAGCAAAAAGAAAAAAGCTGGAAGAGGCGCTGAGACTCAAGTGGTAGAGTGCTAGCCTTGAGCTGAAGAGCTGAGGGACAGTGCCCAGGCCCAGAGTTCAGGCCCCACGACCCGACCAAAAAAAAAAAAAAATAGAATCACAGGTGTGCACCACTGTGCTTGGCCACTCCCACTTGAGGCTGCTGCTATGTGGTAGACCCACACTTTGTGCCTCTGACGTTTTTGGTAACAAAAAGTGATCAGCTCCAGAGAAAGAGAAGGAATGCAGTAGCCAGTAAAAGGCTCTCCATCTGTGTCCCCACAAGGCCCAGGCCCCCGGGGCTCCCGCATGGCGGCACAGAGGTGTGCATCTGGGGTGGGCTTGCCGGGGTGGGCGCAGGGCCTCACCTGCCTTCTGTCCCGTTGCCGCAGTGTCGCCAGCACCGTGAAGCATGCACTGTCCATCTGGCTCAGCATCATTGTTTTTGGCAACAAAATCACCAGCCTGTCCGCCATTGGCACCATCCTTGTGACAGTGGGAGTGCTGCTGTACACCAAGGCCCGGCAGCGCCAGCAGGAGGCCGTGCAGAGCCTGGCCGCAGCGGGCACAGAGGCCCCGGGCCCCCAGGAGCCCCGACAGCACCACTGAGCACAGGACTCACTGAGCACAGGCTGCCCAACTGCCCCGTGCGCTGCACCGCCCCCCAGTGCGGGCCGGGCTGGAGGGGGGTGTGAGGCTCTTCTCCCTGGGACTCATGTTTAATGGTGAGTGCGGAGCACTGCAGGAGGGAGGGGGCAGGCGGCCACAGCTCACGGCCTGGCACACTTAAGGCTGCCCTGCGGTGACCGCAGCTCCTGGGTCAACCTGAATGAGCGTGCCCCGCCTGGTGGTAGCTGGGAAGTTATCACCAAGCCAGCGAATCACAGAGACCCATGGCTCCAGGCAGCCAGACCCAGAAACAAGGGCGGGGGTGCGGGGACTTATTTCCCTCCCTGACTGCGCTTGGGTTTTCCTGAGGTCACCTGGGGACGCCATTAAATTGCCCGGGAAGGGCAGGGTCCCTTCTTGGCCTGGGCTGCCCTGAGTCCCCACCTCCTGCTGATGCTGCCTGTCCTATTCTGAGTCCCACGTGGGCAGAGCCTGGGTCCCTGATGCTGGGGTTAGCAGCTCTGCCATATGTCTGTGCAGGGACACATAGGACAGGGCAGAGCCTTCGTACCGATTCAGTGACACTCTGTCTTAGCAAAGCAAGTGCCAAAGGTTTCGGGAGTCCCTGTGCAGGAGGTGATGGCATCCTGCGGGACCACGGCCAGGTGTGTGAGCCCCCCTCCTCGCCAGCTCAGGAGGGACAAAGGGGACCGTGCCCTGAGCCCTGGAGGCTGAGTTTTCATTTCATTCTTCATCTCTGGAGTTCTGAGGGGGGCTTCGTTCTTCACCAGCCAGTCTTGGAGACCTTCTGCATCAGCCTGAGCCCTGGGGCTCTTGGGCTGAAGCTGCTGGCACCGTCTAACTTCCCTTCCCTGCTCCTCAGGCCTTCGGTGCCCATGACAGTCATTTGTTTCCACTTGGCTTCCAGCCTGGAGAGTACAAAAGCAGCCCCTGCAGGAGGTTAACATCTCAGAAATAAAGAGCAATAATTACGCCTCAGTAACATCTTCCTACTTGAAAGTCTGCCATGATGAATAGAAATGAGGCCTTTTAACCTGCAAGCCACCTTTTAAAACACTGCCCTCCTGTCTCTGGGACCAGCCAGCTGTGCAGTCTGCACTGAGGTCGCCTCTGCTGTGAAGATGATTTCACGACTTCAAAGATGATCTCGCCCAGGTTTCTCCTTCCTTTCCTCCAAAGAAAATACAGTGGTGGCGGCCTGGGGATGGATGTGGGCTTGATCTGCACAGCAAGCTCCCAAGCTTCTACAAGGAGGAAGATGCAACTCTGTAGGCGTTAGTTGGAGGAGCCCCAGCCCTCCTGCAGACCACGCCTGAGGGTTCAGTGGCTTCCGAGTATTGTTGGGAATGCCTGGCCTGAGTGCCACAGTGGCTAGGAAGTGGCGTAAGAAACGATTCCTCCTCCTCCTCCTCCCCCTCCTCCTCTTCCTCAACTTTCTCCTCCTTCCTCCCCCCCCCCATTTTCCCCCAACCCCCGTAAACAAAATATTTTCTAAAGTTGTGAGCAAGTGAGGCAATTTCCTGTGACACTCCTGAGACGCCTCCTCCCCCCAGGCTCTGGCCACACATTCCTGCCCCATCTCCTCACCACACCTTGCTTCCCACGTGTTGCTTCCCACAGTTGTCCCAGGACAGTTCGAAGCGCAGCCTGACCACTTATGATTGTACAGACATTTTTTTAAATTAATGTTGTGTGGTACTTTTATGTAGAATAGTATGTTCTCATGTGCAGAAGCACTTGCACTGGGTGTTGTTACCTGGGTTAATTCCTCCTTTATCCAGGTCATTGTCTGTGCCTTTGTAAGCTGGACAGAACTTCCAAGTGGGGCCTTCACTTGTTTGCCACATATTTGGAGGCATACAAGTTTTGGAGTATGGTTTAGTGCTTCAGCACTCTCCGGGGAGGTGTGAGCCTGGTAGCTCTGCTCAGACCCTCTGCCAGCCCTTTCGCTCTGGGTTGTTTTCAGGGAGGGTACTGCCTTTTGTCTGGGGTCCTCGACCAGGATGCTGTCTAGGGCTCCCCCGTGGCTGTGTACTACCTGGCTTATTTGTTGAAATGAGCTGTTGCTAACTTTTTGCCCTGGTTGGCCTGAAACCTCCTATCCCCACCTCCCAAGTGACTGAGGCTACAGCCATGCACACAGCGCTGACCTAAAAATACTTTTTTCTGTTAATCATAAATTCCTCTATATCAACATTATATATCTGCTTATGAAGTTGAGAATACTCTTGCACAATCCAAAATGTGTCTTTAATTTGAGAAAAATAAACATGGTGAATCAGAGGCCCTGGGGGAGGGGGGGGCGGATTACAGGGAATATCAGTCAGCCAGGCGCCAGTGGCTCAGGCTTGTAATCCTAGCTACTTGGGAGACTAACATCTGAGGACTGAGGATCAAAGCCAGCATGGACAGACAAATCCAAAAGACTTACACCCAATTAACCATTAAAAAGCCAGAACCAGGGGCTGGGAAGGTGGCTCAGTGGTGGCTTGCCTCGCATGCCTGAGGCCCTGGGTTTGATTGCTCAGCACCACATAAGCAGAAAAAGCCGGAAGTGGCGCTGTGGCTCAAGTGGTAGAGCACTGGCCTTGAGCTGAAGAGCTGAGGGACAGCGCCCAGGCTCAGAGTTCAGTCCCCACAACTGGCAAAAAAAAAAAAGCCAGAACCAGACATGGTTCAAGTGATAGAGCGCTAGCTTGAGAAGCCAAGAGAATGAAAGCCCTAAATTTAAGTCCCAGTACCAACACGCACACATTCACATGTGTGCGTACACATGTATACACACACACACACACACACACACACACACACACACGCAAAACTGTCAGCCAAATAGAGCTCTGCTCTGCTCAGTAGTGCCTTTAAAACCTTTACAACAAAACCAGCACGCTTTAGCTTCCTGGTTTAGCTCAATAGATTGTGGAGGTACAGCGCATTTTCACATCTACCAAATGAGGTGCTTCCCAGGGCTTCAGAATGTTTACGTTGGAAGTGGTGGTGTGGCTCCAAGTGATAAGAGTACCAACATTGAGTGAAAATGCCCAGTAAGGAAAGGAGGCCTTGAGTTCAAGTCCCAGCACAGATACACAAATACTTACACTGTTTCCTTGATTTGGAAACTAAACCAAGGAAGTTATTAAAGATAGAAATCTTTTCTTGGGGGGGGGGTTCTTTTAAGCTTAGGGTCCTTGAACTAAAGATCATTCAGCCTTAGTGTCAAAAGGATGGTCACGATGCCTGATTTCCGATTAAGTTTTTTTTTTTTAATTTAATTTTAATTTGCCTTTGACCAATATTCTGTTATGGACTTTTCTTTTTCTTTTTCAAAATATAGCCTGGTTGTAACTTCATCTCTCCTTTTTGGGGATTTGAACTCAACACCTCACTAAGTTGGCACTCTACAACTTCAGCTACCCTTCCATTTCTGCTTTTTGCTGGTTATTTGGGAGGTGGGAGTTTCAAACTTGTCTGACCAGACTGGCCTTGAACCATAATTCTCCAGATTTCAGCCTCCTGAGAGGCTAGAGTTACAGGTGTGAGCTACTAGTATTGTTTCCCCCTCCTTCCCCCCCCCCCCCCCCCAAGTGCTAGGGATTGAACCTAGGGCTGTGCACCTGCTAGGCAAGCTGAACCACTAAGCCACACACCCAGCACATTTTCTCAGTTTGTAAATAAGAATGTTTAGCTTGGGAAGGGGAAACAGAAGAGGCAATAATGCTTGGTAAGAAGTCTGAGGAAAAAAAATGTTTAGCTCTCCTGGACAAGGACCAGGAGTAGAACCTCAAGATTATGCTGACCATGGACAAGCTGTACCCACTCCAGCTCAGAGCAAAGAACATACCAGCTTTGGGGTCTCTGAAATACTTACCGTTTTCTTTGGGGCTCAGATTGTTTGCAGTTATTCCAATTGGAAAAAGTCTTGTTTGTATTTTAAGTTTTCATTTTTGGAAAGTGTCTTTGTTCAAGTGTGATTTAGAGGCTCTCTGCAGGTGAGGGCGTCTGTACAAGTGGTGGTGTAGAGTCCTCTTGATGAGGGCCTCATGACATTCCCACCTTGAGAAAATTTGAGGTCAGACATGGGGTACATGCGTGTGACCTCACCCATTCCCAGAGGCAGGAGGATGGAGCACTGGAGGCCAGGCAGGGCACAGCTGCTGAGACCTACCTCAGAGGGAGGTGTGGTAAGCGGGAGGCATGGGTCTAGTAGAGCCTTTGCCTCCCATCTGAGATGGAATTCAGTTCCAGTATTGCCAAAAAAGAAAAACTTGAGAACTATCCTTGCCTACTTCAGTGCGGTCATATTTGTTTTATACCAAGCAAAACTGAATTAAAGTACAGGATACAAAAGCTACGTGTACAGTGTTTTGAATTCACCTGTTGCAGTATTCATGTTGGTAGCCTAGTGCCGCCTACACCACGGTCTGAAAATACGTGAGTGAGCCTTGGTTCTGCTGTGCGGTGAGCCGGCCCTGTGCATTGTCCTGGGGCTGCGGCCTGCGCAGGTCAGTCTACAGGAGAAAGGCATGGAAGCAACTGTCAAAGGCCTTCTTCTGAAAGAGGAAAACAAAGGCCAAGTGTTTTTTTTGAGTCCGGTCGTGGGCCTGAACTCTGGCCTGGGCGCTGTCCCTCAGCTCTTCAGCTCAAGGCGAGCGCTCTAGCGCTTGAGCCACAGCGCCACTTCCGGCTTTTTGCTTATGTGGTGCTGAGGAATCGAACCCAGGGCCTCAGGCATGCGAGGCAAGCGCTCTGCCACGGAGCCGCCCTCCCAGCCCAAAGGTCAAGTATTCTTCGTGGGACTCCTCGGTCCGGAACTCCCCGCCATTTCACAGCGCGGACGCGGGAAGGGCGCTTCCCGGCGTCAGAGCTCGAGGATTCGTCACCGGGGGCGAGGGGAGTCGACCCCGCCTGGCGGAGCCGCCCTGGCCCGGACTCAGAGGTCGGCGCAGGCCGAGCCCCGCCTCCCCCGGCTGCCGGGGGCGGACGGCGGGGAGCCGACGGGGCCGCCGCTCGGGAACGGCGCCGGCACCGGTTCCCTAGGACACTCGTGCGTCATCGGCGCGCGACGGCCAAGAAGTGACGTCAGGCGCGGTTTCCGCCCCCGGCCCGCCTGATGTCATCATTCCGCGTCCGCGCCGGAGGTGACGACGCCGGCGCGTTCTCCAGGCGCAGTTTCTCCTCAAGTTCGGGTACCGGCGGCGGCGGCGGCGGCGGCGGCGGCGGCGGCGGCGGCGCAGGGGTGAGTGAATGGGGGCGGCTCGGGCTCGGGAGCGCGGGGAGGCCGGCGCGCCGGCGGCGGTGGCTCGGAGCGGGGCTGGGGCGGGCCCGGGACCCGGCGACACCGCCGCCCTGGGGGGGCCTGACCCCGGCCAGCGCGGGAGGGAAGCGGCGGCGGCGGCGAGCCCAGAGCCGGAGGGCGGCCGGCCCGCGGGCCCGCCCGCCCCTCCCGGAGGGCCCGGCCGCCCCGACCCAAAGGGCCCGTCTGATCCGGACTTCTAACGTCAGAGGCGGAGCTTGTTGAATGCCGGCCCTGGGCTCTCGGCTTCTCCTTGAATGGTGCTCTTTGGTCCGTGCCCAGTGGCGGAAAAAGGGAACTTGAGGTAACGCCGGAGATTAGCTGTCCGCCTCGGAGCCCATCCCTCTGCCGCGACTTACCCGAACGCTGCGGGAGCGGAAACCGCGTCAGCCTGGGGCTCGCCTGTCCCGAGGGTGCTTGAATTGTCTTTCTTTTCACAGTGTTTTAATTCAAATGGGTGATGAAAAGGACTCTTGGAAAGTGAAAACTTTAGATGAAATTCTCCAAGAAAAGAAACGAAGGAAAGAACAAGAGGAGAAAGCAGAGATAAAACGCTTAAAAAATGTAAGCTATGTTTTTTAAGTAAGTGGGTTTCTTAAAGGAGATTTAATTTCTTTGCCCTCATTTTTCCATTAGAACAACGCTTCTTCGGTGAAGTTCTTTTGTACTTCTAAATGTCACAGGTGAGCCCAAAATCTATTCTAAAACTTAACAAAAACATTCATATAATCAGTTTACATTGAAAGCAGATTGATAATACACAGAAGATGTGTCTAAATGAGAATGTCTACATGGTGAACAAAATGTTTGAACCTAGAGTCATTAGCACACCTGGACTAATTTTTCTCATTTCATTATTAGCATATTCATAATACCATTTCCAAGTATTCTTAATGTAGTGGAGTGTGCCTTGGTATTAATATGTCATATCTTTCTTGATTTGAGTAACATGCTCAGAAAGGCTTTTTTGGTTTTGGATGAGAGGCATTAGTTTAAGTACCTCTTTTCAAAAGGCCAGAAAAAAGATTGTTTTAAAGTATACCTACATACTATGAGAACTATCAGAAAATATTTGGTATGTAAATCTACATTAAGCCTCAGTGTTGGTTTGTGGGCAACTAACATACTTGGCGTAGATTCTCTTGTCCCTTGTCACGTGTGCTAGATTTTTTTGTTTGTTTGTTTGTTTTGGCACTTGCTGGGCTGGAGTGCGCAGCCCTGGTCACTGTCTCTGAGCCTCTTTGTGCTCAAGGCTAGCTCTTTATCACTTGAGCCACAGAGGCACTTCCATAAATGCTGGTTTTAAGTTTCCCATTTCTCAGGTTTTGGATTACAGACAGTAATACGGGATTTGAAGAATTTCCTTCTTTCAATTTTGTAACGTTGATTCAACCAAGGTATATAAAAAAAGCTTGGTTTAAGATACTGGTGAAGTGTTTATCAGTAAAATATACTTAGCCAGGTGCCAATGGTTCACACATGTGATTCTTAACTACTTAGGAGATTGAGATCTGAGGATTTTGGTTTGAATCCAGCCTAGTCAGGAGACTCTCTTATCCCCATTAAACTACAAAAGAAAAAAAGAAAAAAGCCAAAAGTGGAACTGTGGCTCAAAATTGTGGCTCAAGTGGTAGAATGCTAGCCTTGAGCACAAAAGTTCAAAGATAGCACCCAGGCCTAGAGTTTAAGCCCAGGCCCAGCATAAATTAATTAATTAATTAAAAAACCCCACTTAGCCCCCAGGCATTGGGTGGCTTTCTCCTATAATCCTAGCTAATCAGGAAACTAAAACCTGAGTATCACAGTTCAAAGCCAGTCTGGGCAGGAAAGTCCGTAAGACTCTTATTGCTAATTAACCGCCAAAAAGTCAGAAGTGAAGCTGTGGTACAAGTAATAGGAACGCTATCCTTGAGCGAAAAAATTTAGGGATAGCATCCAGGCCCTGAGTTCAAGCCTTAGTACAGGCACACACATGCATTTAAATAAATGTAAAAAAAAAAATCCCAAAACATTTAGCTGGGTGTGTTAGCACACACCTGTAATGTCAGCATTTGGTATCCTAAAGCAGGAAGATCTCAAGTTCAAAGCGAGCCTAGTGTCTCGAAAGTCTATGTAAAAATGACTTAGTCTCTCTTGACTTTTTAGTCTGATGACAGGGATTCCAAGCGAGACTCCCTGGAGGAAGGGGAGCTGAGAGACCACCGAATGGAGATCACAATCAGGAACTCACCCTACAGAAGAGAGGACTCGATGGAAGACAGGTAAGAAGCTGCACAGCAAGAGAAGACGGGGACACACCCTACAAAGCTGAAGGTTATATTTGTGACATTAGATTTACCTCAGATGAGGTTGGTGAAGGAGTCTGGGGAGGGCAATCGGTTTTCACATCATTCCTCATGAAGACAGAATGAGCATGGCTTCTTTTCTTTTGTGGTGGTTTTTCAGTCAAGCCAGCACTGTTTAGATGAGAAAGTTAAATGTTGGCTCTGAGTTGCATGTGTAAGATTTTGTATCATGGGCTGGGAAGGTGGCTCAGTGGTAGAATGCTTGCCTCACATGCATGAGGCCCTGGGTTCGATTCCTCAGCACCACATACGCAGAAAAAGCCAGGAGTAATCCAAGTGGTAGAGCACTAGCCTTGAGCTGAAGAGCTGAGGGGCAGCGCCCAGGCCCAGAGTTCAAGCCCCACAACAACAACAAAAAAAAGATTTTGTATCAGCAACTGTGGCTCACACCTATAATCCTAGCTACTCAGGAGCCTGAGATCTGATGGTCGTGGTTCAGAACCAGCCTAGGCAGAAAAATAGTGAGACTCTTCTCTCCAGTTAACTAGCAAAAAGCCAGAAGTGGAGGTGTACCTCAAGTGGTAGAGGCCAGAGCTCAAAGCCCTGAGTTTAAGCCTCAGGACCATCAAAAAATAAAACAAATGTTTTACACCAGTAATTGAAATTAGAAGGCAGAGGGGCCACTGTCAGAAATATGTTCTGGGCACCCATGGCTTACACCGTAATCCTATCTACTCAGGAGGCTGAGCTCTGAGGATTGCTGTTAGAAGCCAGCCCAGGCAGGAAAGGCTGTGAGACTCTTATCTCCAAGTAAATACCAGAAAGCTGGAAGTAGCACTTGTGCTCAAGTGGTAGAGCACTAGCCTTGAGCTAAAGAGCTCAAGAACAGTGCCCAGGCCCTGAGTTCAAGCCCTATAACCAAGCAAAAAAAAAAAAAAAGAAGGAAGGAAAGAAAGATCGATTCATGCCAAAACATATATAGTTCTTTGTGTACAGTGGTGTCTTGTCATTTTTTTCTTCCTCATCATTTGTGAGTTAAAGCAAATAGAACCAGAAGTTAAGGTAAAGTGATACTGAGGAGCTATGGGTGTAATTCTTTCAGGATCTTGGTAGTGTAGAATCAGTTAAAAATAATGTGACAGGAACTGCGTGTGTGCACATACATGCTAGTACTAGGGCTCGACCTTGGTTCCAGAGTGCTCTTTCATGCTAGGCTAGCACCCTCCAGTTCAAGGCACACCTCTACTTGTATCTTTCTGCCAGTTAATTAGAGATAGGAATCTCACAGACCTTCAGGTCTGTTTTCAAATCCCAAGCCTCAGATCTTAGCCTCTGAGTAGCTAACATTACAGGCATGAGACCCTAGTGTTTCGCTAAAAGATTTTTTTTTCTAAACATGTATTTTTTATTGTAATGATACTGTACAGAGGGGTTATATTTACATGAGCAAGGTAATGAGTCCATTTTCTATCGAGCATTGTTATTTCCTCCTTTGTTTTTCCCCTACCATCCCTTTCCACCCTACCTGCTCAACTCCTCCTCCCCTCCCTGCCTCACAAAGTTGTAAAGTTTGTTTTCAACATAGTGTCTTGGCTAAAAGGTACTGAACTCTGGGCCTGGGCCCTGTCCCTCAGCTCTTTAGCTCAAGGCTAGTGCTCTACCACTTGAGCCACAGCACCACGTCCAGCTTTTTCTGCTTATGTGTTGCTGAGGAATGGAACCCAGGGCCTTATGCATGCAAGGCAAGCACCTACTACTGAGCCACCTTCCCAGACCCTAAAATAATTTCGTGGGGGGGGGGCTTGAACTCTGGGCCTGGGCACTGTCCCTGCGCTCTTCAGCTCAAGGCGAGCACTCTACCACTTGAGCCACAGTGCCACTTCCGGTTTTCTAGTGGTTTATTGGAGATAAGAGTCTCATGGACTTTCCTGCGCGGGCTGGCTTTGAACCACAATCCTCAGGTCTCAGCCTCCTGAGTAGCTAGGATTACAGGTGTGAGCCACCGGCATCTAGCTTAGCATGTCTTTTTTTTATCATTATTATTGTGAAAATGCTGTACGGAGGAGTTACAATTACATGGGCAAGATAATGAGTATATTTCTTATCAAGCATTGTTGCCTTCTCCTTTGTTTCCCCTTCCTATCCCTTTCCATCTCCCCCCCCCCCCCCCAAAGTTGTAAAGTTTGTTTTTCAACATAACAACTTGTACTTCTCGTTGTTGCAATGGGTCCACCTGTATCCCTATCTAAACAATTTGTTTTTCCCCTTCCTCTCTACAAATTATATCAACATCAAATACAGTGAAAGCAGGGGTTATATCGTGGGGGAGGGAGCATGTTTTTTTAAATGATGTTTCAGTTCAACTTTATTTCATTGTGACTCTTGTTTTTGGGGGAGAGGGTGCCCTGGTTCTCTGCAAACTTCCAGCATGTTATGGTCTGTATTTCAGGGGAGAGGAAGATGATTCTCTGGCCATCAAGCCACCCCAGCAAATGTCTCGGAAAGAAAAGGCCCATCACAGAAAAGATGAGAAGAGGAAAGAGAAGCGTAGACATCGTAGCCACTCAGCGGAAGGGGGTATTGAGTCTTGCTTTCTTTGATGTTCACATACATTTGTTTTCTTCATGAACTCATCCTGCAGAGCAGAGCTAAAAGGAGAATGAATAAAGTTTAGCAAAAAACATAAGAATAGCCGGGCGCTGGTGGCTCACACCTGTAATCCTAGCTACTCAGGAGGCTGAGATCTGAGGATCACGGTTCAAAGCCAGCCCGGGCAGGAGAGACCGTGAGACTCCTATCTCCAATAAACCACCAGAAAACCGGAAGTGGCGCTGTAGCTCAAGTGGTAGAGCGCTTGCCTTGAGCTGAAAAGCTGAGGGACAGTGCCCAGGCCAGAGTTCAAGCCCACGGCCAACAAAAAAAAAACATAAGAATAATGCTCATTTTCCTTCTGGTGTTTTTTTCTATCCTGTTGCATTGTTTAGAATTTGTTTACATGTAAAATTAATTATCAATAAGTAGAGGGAATGTGCCAAAAAAGAAAGTTTTTAGATTAAGTCAAATATATGCTTTGAAGCCGGGCGCTGCTGGCTCACGCCTGTAATCCTAGCTACTCAGGAGGCTGAGATCTGAGGATCACGGTTCAAAGCCAGCCTGGGCAGGAAAGACCGTGAGACTCCTATCTCCAATAAACCACCAGAAAAAAAACGGAAGTGGCACTGTAGCTCAAGTGGTAGAGAGCTGAGGGATAGCGCCCAGGCCCAGAGTTCAAACCCCATGACTGACAAAAAAAAAAAAAAAAATATATATATATATATATATATATGTATATATATATATATATATATGCTTTGACTTGGTGACAATTTTTTGTTTTTGTTTTTTGGTCAGTTGTGGCGCATGAACTCTGGGCCTGGGCACTGTCCCTCAGCTCTTCAGCTCAAGGCTAGCGCTCTACCGCTTGAGTCACAGCGCCCACTTCAGCTTTTTCTGCTTATGTGGTGCTGAGGAATCAAACCTCATGCATGGGAGACAAGCGCTCTACCACTAAGTGACCTCCCTAGCTCCTTGGTGACAGTTTTGATCTCATGCCATCTGTTAGAGGCTAGTCATCTGTTAGAGATTGTCCTAGTACTAGGACTTGAACTCAGGTCCTTGCCATCTTGCTTGGCTTTTCTATTCATAATTGTCACTCTACCTCTTGAGCCAGTAGCTTTTTCCTGCTTAATTGGAGATGAGTCTATAGGAGACAGCACCTATGGCTCATGCCTGTAATCCTAGCTACCCAGTAGGCTGAGATCTGAGGATCACGGTTCAAAGCCAGCCAGGGCAGGAAAGGGCAGGAAAGTCCATGAGACTCTTACCTCCAATAAACCACTAGAAAACCAGAAGTGGTGCTACGGCTCAAGAGGTAGAGCACTAGCCTTGAGCTGAAGAGCACAGAGGCAACGCCCAAGTCCAGAGTTCAAGTCCCACGACCGACCAAAAACAAAGAATCCATATAGTTGTCTGCCTAGGCTTGCCTTGAACCAGGAATCTCAGATCTTAACTCTTGAATAGCTAGGATTAGAAATATGAGCCACTAGCACCTGGCTTAACAGTTCTTTTTTTGCCTTCTTTCCTTTTTTTTTTTGGTTGGTCATGGAACTCAGAGCTTGGGTACTGTCCCTGAGCTCTTTTGCTCAAGGCTAGCACTCTACCATTTGAGCCACAGCTCCACTTCTAGCTTTTTCTGTATATGTGGTACTGAGGAATAGAATCTAGCACTTCTAGCACTTCATGCATGCTAGGCAAGTACTCTACCACTAATCCATGTTCCCAACCCCCAACTTAGTTTTATAAAATAACATAGAAAGCTATTGAAAGGAACAAAGCTTTGTTCATGAGCAATAATTTTTTTTAAGGTATAAAACTAACCTAGGGACTGGGAAGGTGGCTCAGTGGTAGAGTGCTTGCCTTGCAGGCATGAGGCCCTGGGTTCGATTCCTCAGCACCACATAAGCAGAAAAAGCTGGAACTGGCACTGTGGCTCAAAGTGGTAGAACACTAGCCTTGAGCTGAAGGGCTGAGGGACAGCGCCCAGGCCCAGAGTTCAGGCCCCACAATCAGACCAAAAAAAAAAAACCACAAAAACCTAGTTTCTTTGCAATAGAAAATTGAAAGGCATTCTCTTTAGCAACAGTCACATTGTGTGTGTGTCTCTGTGTGTCTGTGTGTGTGCACGCATGTGCTGGTATTGGGGCTTGAACTTGGCCTCCACACTGTCCCTCAGCTTTTTTGCTCAAGGCTGAATGTCACCCTTCTTAGCATTTGTGTCACAGTTCTGCTTCCAGCTTTCTGGTGGTTTTATTGGAGATAAGAGTCTCATTGGACTTTCCTGCCTGAGCTGGCTTTGAACCTTGATCCTCAGATCTCAGCCTCCTGGGTAGCTAGGATTACAGGCATGAGCCACTGGCACCTGGTCATATTTGGTACTTGTTTTTTTTTTCAACTCAATATGGAATTGCTTTTTGAAGTCACTTAAATATTTTTGTATTTAATAAGCTAAATTTTTGGAAATTGAGTCTAAATGAAAATTGCTTTATCTTATCAGGGAAGCATGCTCGAGTAAAAGAAAAAGAGAGAGAACATGAGCGTCGGAAGCGACATCGAGAAGAGCAGGACAAAGCCCGCCGGGAATGGGAAAGACAGAAAAGGAGGGAACTGGCAAGAGAACATTCCAGGAGAGAGAGGTAAGGCTGTGGTTTCCAGTGAGCCCCCGTGTCCTTTTAGGGCTGGGGAGGGATGGGAACTTGGTGGGAGAGAGCAGATTCACCTTGTCCAGGTGAGTTAGGCACCTGGCACAGGAGATGAGTTTTCCTGGTGGGTGGGAGCTGCGCTGGGTCTAAGCTGACAGAAGATAAAGTGCCCAGGAAAGGCCATTGGAGGTGACATGGAAGCCCCGACTCCCTGAGCAAATCAGTTCCATGGATGAGTTGGGGAAAGGATGTTAGGGGCGAGTGCTGGGGTCCCAGGTGGCTCCGGAGCAGGTATGTGCAGGATTAGGCCAGACATGAAGCGGTGGAGACAGCAGGGAGCAGTGTGGAGTGAGGATCGTGAGTCCATGCCATCGGCTCACCCGGAGGAACATGTATTTGTGCAGGTTGTTTTTACTGTGTGTTAAGGAGATGTGTCTTTCCAGACCCAAGTCCACAGAGCCCACGAGTGAATCCTGGCAGTACTCAGGAGGAGGTGGCATGATGGTTACACTGTGCCATGCTCTCCCTACATGCGATGCCTAAGGACATAGACTGTTTAGAGAAAGTGTTCTAGTCTGGGATGGCTAGGCTGTCCTTTCCTTAGGGTTCTCCATCTCCTCAGAAATTGACGGGTTCTTCTAGTGCAGATTGATGAAGCAGTAAGAGAACTCCAGCTAGGAGCCTGTGGCTCCGGACCGTAATACTAGCTATGAAAGAGACTGAGAGCTGAGGATTGAGGTTCAAAGCTAGTCTGGACAGGAAAGTCCATAAGATTCTTTTTTTTGTCAGTCATGGGGCTTGAACTCTGGGCCTGAGCGCTGTCCCTCAGCTATTCAGCTCAAGGCAAGCACTCTACCACTTGAGCCACAGTGCCACTTACGGTTTTCTAGTGGTTTATTGGAAGTAAGAGTCTCACGGACTTTCCTGCCCAGGCTGGCTTTGAACCGTGATCCTCACATCTCAGCCTCCTGAGTAGCTAGGATTACAGACGTGAGCCACCGGCATCCAGCTTCCATGAGATTCTTATCTCCAATTAGCTACTAGAAAGCAAGAAATGGAGTTGTGACGCAAGTGGTAAAGCCTTGCTTAGAATAGCTCAGGGACAGCACCCAGGCCCTGGGTTCAAGCCCTAGCACCTGCATGGAGGAAAGGAAGGAGACCTCCCAGACTTGATGCAGTTTGGTAGCTGGACTCCCTCCTTCCTGGGGGCCTGGAGGCCTTGGTGTCAGCCTAGACTCCTACAGGAGATATCTGTCGGGGCCTGGAAGGTGGCTCAGTGGTAGAGTGCTTGCCTTGCATGCATGAGGCCCTGGGTTTGATTCCTCGGTACCACATAAGCAGAAAAAGCCAGAAGTAAGTGGCACTGTGGCTGAAGTGGTAGGGTGCTAGCCTTAAGCTGAAGAGCTCAGGGACAGTGCCCAGGCCCTGAGTTCAGGCCCCACAACTGACAAAAAAAAAATGTGTCTAGCCGGGCGCTGGTGGCTCACATCTGTAATCCTAGCTACTCAGGAGGCTGAGATCTGAGGATCGCGGTTCAAAGCCAGCCTGGGCAGGAAAGACCGTGAGACTCCTATCTCCAATAAACCACCAGAAAACTGGAAGTGGCGCTGTAGCTCAAATGGTAGAGCGCTCGCCTTGAGCTGAAGAGCTGAGGGACAACGCCCAGGCCCAGAGTTCAAGCCCCACGACCGACCAAAAAAAAAAAAATGTGTCTAGCTACAGGTCAGTTCTCTTTTTTTTTTTTTTTTTGGGTCCGGTTGTGGGGCCTGAACTCTGGGCCTGGGCGCTGTCCCTCAGTTCTTCAGCTCAAGGCTAGCGCTCTACCACTTGAGCCACAGCGCCACTTCCGGCTTTTTTTTGCTTATGTGGTGCTGAGGAATCGAACCCAGGGCCTCAGGCATGCAAGGCAAGTGCTCTACCACTGAGCCACCTTCCCAGCCCATGCAGGTCAGTTCTCAAGCCCAGGACAGGTTGGTTGTAAGGAAAGCTTGAAGCTGGTAGCCTCTTTGGAGAGCTGCCAGCAGGCTGTGATGCACACATAGCTGAAAGGGTCCAGTGAGGCCTGCCTGTGACGAGGCCGGAGGACAGGCCATGTGTGCACGTTCCCAGGGTGTTTGTGCTGGCTGCACCGTGCTGGACCGCGTAGCTCAGCCAGTGAGGGGAGGGCGGCGGGCAGCCCTTATAGATACCCCAGAGGGTGAAGCGGGAGAGAAGAGCCGAAGGCATGTGTTAGGCAAGGACCAAGATCTGGTGCTCTTGGAGAAAGAAAGCAGTGTCAGACACTAGCTGTAGTTGAGACAGCTTGCCAACATGTGCTAGGAGTCTTACAGACTCTTAGGCCTAGCTGGCTTTGAACCATGATCCTCAAATCTCAGCCCCTGAGTGGCTAGGATTACAGATATGAGCCACCAGCATCAGACTTGTGTTTGTTTTGTTATCAATATTGGGGGTTGAACTCAAGGTCTTGGCACTGTCCCATAGGTTTTTTCTGTTTGACACTAGTGTTTTGCCACTTGAGTCACAGCTCCACTTCTGGCTTATGGGTAATCAGGGTAAGAGCCTCATGGACTTTTCCTGACCATTCTAGCCTCAAATGGTGATCCTCACATGTCAGACTCCTGAGTAGGATTGCAGGCTTAAGCCACCACCACATGGCTTTTGCTGGGTTTGTGCAGACTCTTACCCTGGCCTAGGCTGGCCTCGGACTGGGTACTCCTGCCTCTTGGTTTAAATGCTAAAATGACACTGTGCACAGCCACGCCGGGCAGGAAAGCAAGCTTTGTGTTGTGCAGAGGAATGAGGGCCGTGCCTGCTTCCAGGGACCGACTGGAGCAGTTAGAAAGGAAGCGGGAGCGGGAGCGCAAGATGAGGGAGCAACAGAAGGAGCAGCGGGAGCAGAAGGAGCAGCGGGAGCAGAAAGAGCGGGAGCGACGGGCGGAGGAGCGGCGCAAGGAGCGAGAGGCCCGCAGAGAAGGTGTGGGCCGGGAAGGGCCGGGGCCGGGAGGGCCGGGGGGGCCGGAGCAGGGCGTGGTGCCCACCTCTCTCTGTACGGTAGCCCCTCAGCACCGGCAGTGCCTTGGAGGCCACAGGCCTGCACACAGCTGTGTGGAGCACATCTTCTCTGCCATCTGAACTGGCTCTGGGCGAGACAACGGGGTGGCGCAGTGCCCTGGGCTAGGGGGGCTGTGCGCACGTGCAGCTGGCCTGCTGTCAGCGGGTGTTCCAGGCTCATGTCAGTGGCCCTGTGCTCCTATGACACACGCAACAGGTGCTTCTTGGTGCCTGTGCTTGCTTTGCCCCCGCCCCTTACCCTTTCTTACAGAATTTACGAGTAACAAAATACATAGGCTATAAACGGGTTCCCTTCGTCATCTTTTACTGTGTATCCAGTGCCATCTCCAGAATTCTTTTCACCTCACATCCTTCCAGCCCTTGACAGCCTCTGCCTCAGTGTGCTAGGAATTGGAACGCCTGTTTCTCACACGTGTAATCATGCACTCTTCTTTCTTTTTTTCTTTTTTGTGGGGAGGGGTCCAGTTGTGGGGCCTGAACTCTGGGCCTGGGCGCTGTCCCTCAGCTCTTCAGCTCAAGACTAGCGCTCTACCACTTGAGCCACAGCGCCACTTCCAGCCTTTTTTTTTCCTGCTATGTGGTGCTGAGGAATCGAACCCAGGGCCTCAAGCATGCAAGGCAAGCGCTCTACCTCTGGGCCACCTTTCCAGCCCTTCTGTCTTTATTTCTTACTGGCCTGTTTCACTCACATGAAGTCCTCTGGCCTGTCATGGTATAGCTTATGTCAGAATCTCTTTCCTACGGCTGGGAAGGTGGCTCAGTGGTGGAGTGTTTGCCTCACATGCATGAAGCCCCTTGGTTCAATTCCTCAGAACCACATACACAGGAAAAGCAGGAAGTGGCACTGTGGCTCAAGTGGTAGAGCACCCTTAAACGAAATAAGCTCAGGGACAGTGCCCAGGCCCTGAGTTCAAGCCCCAGGACTGTGAAAAGAAAAAAAAATTATTTGAGGGATGGCCGATAGAGGTTTAGTTTTGTTTTGCTGGTTGTTTTCTGCATGCTTTAATTGCCTTTCAGCTCCCCCTTCCCTTGTCCTTAGCGTATATATTTGGGGGAAGTGTTTGTGGTTCTTTCTCCTTTTCTACTTGTATTTGATATATTTTGGGAACTTAGGGTGATGCCAATTTGAACTTTTGAATTGATACCAGCTATGCTTTAGTGATGTTTAAAATGGCTTTTTTTCTTTCCTTTTCGTGCTGGCTCAGAGCCTGATCTTTTTTGCTCAAGGCCAGTGCTCTACTACTTGAACCAAGCTCCATTGTTGGGCTGACTTCAAAACCGTGATCCTCAGATCTTAGCCTCCGGAATAGCTAGAATTTCTAGTCATTCATGAGCCACAGGTGCTCGGCTGAAAACTCTGCTTCCTGACACCTCTGTCCCAACCTGGTTTGTGGTGGGTGCTGGAAAATTAGGAGGGTTTCGTTTTCTGTTTCTCTTGAGACTCCTGGAAGCGATTTGGGGCCTGGGCACTGTCCTTGAGCTTTTTTTTTTTTTCTCAAATTTTTTATTGTGATTAAATGGTTACATAATTCCCCAAATTTCACAGTGTTGTGGGATAGTGATGCTTAGGTAAAGTCACAAACACATTCTAACTTTCATGGAACAAGTTGTCTATCGTGGTCTGTAACACTGATGAGTTCTGTGAGCTTTGCGATAGTCATTTCTTCCCACTGGGTGGTAGGTACATTTCCTTGGCTTTGCATAGCGTCAGCTGTTCCCTCTTTCCCACTCGTTCCCTCCCTCCCATCACTGCCATTCAGTTGCTTAGTTCACTTTGGTCAATATCCAGTGCAGCTGATGGGTCCCTGTCCTTGAGCTTTTTTTATTCAAGGCTAACACTTGACTACTTGAGCTACAGCTCTACTTCCAGTTTTTGCTGGTTAATTGAAAATAGGAATCTCAGGGACTTTCCTGCCTGGACTGACTTTGAACCACTAGCTTTGAATCCTCAGATTCATAAATTCCAAAGCACTTCTTCCCTGGGAATGTCTAGATTCCCCCTCACTTCCTAGGATCGGTCAGCCAGATGCAGCGTTTTTGCTGACAGTTTTTCTTTCAGATCCCATCCACCTGCTCCCCTCCGGCCTGGGCCTCTGCTGACATCCAGGGCCTGTGGGGGCCAGTCCCTGCTTCCTGATGATGTCCGGGGGGGGCCGGGGGGGCCAGTCCCTACTTCCTGCTTTCAGTGCTCTCTCCCTCTATGGTTTTCTACGTTTATGGTACGTGGAGTGGTTGGTTGTAGCTCTGGTTCCAGGTTTGCAGTCACCTCGTGCTTTCACTTTTCTTGTTCACGCTGGCTTCGTTAATGGCTAGTGCTCCACCCCCCCAATCTCGCATTTTGATGACTAGAGATAGGGGTCTCACAGGCCTTTCTTAGGCTGGCTTCAAACTGTGAGCCTCCAGGTCTCAGCCTCCTGAGTAGATAGGATTACAGTGTAATCCTAACCACCAGCACCTGGCTCCAGCTGGCTTTATTGTTGAGATTGAGTCTTGGTAACTTTTGCCTAGACTGGCTTTAAACTGAAAGTCCTCCTCATCTCTGCCTCCTGAGCAGTTTCTTCCTAAAATCCTTTCTCATTCCCAGTGAAGGTCAGCCTGGAAGGCCTTGGTCCTCAGGGTCAGCCCATGGCCTCCAGCTTAGGGCTTTTCTTCCTGAACCCGTGGCCAGTCGCCCCGTTACTGTCAGTTCCCTTCATGCAGTGGGGCTGGTGTGGGCGCCTGGGGCGCCGTGCGGAGCAGGCCTGGCGGAGGGCCTCCATGGGAAGGTGTTGTGCCAGCATCAGCTCCCTTTTCTCCCCTGTGCAATAGTCTCTGCACATCACCGCGCAGTGAGGGAAGACTACGGTGACAAGGGCAAGACGGCACGCTGGAGCCGCAGCCCCGCACGGCCGCCCCGGGAGCGCTTTGACCTGGGAGACAGCCGGAAGCCAGGTGAGGAGGCCCATTGCCCGTGGGGGGGAGGCGGGGGGGGGGGGGTGAGCCTGGCACTGAGCTTCATAAGTCTCTGACACCAGGAAGTGCTCAGCCAAGTTGTGTGTGGGGGGGGGGGGTTCTGCACTAAAATGATGTGTGTCCCCAGGGACTGTTGACATACATTTGCATGACTTAAGATACTGAACCCGTCCTGAGGGCTGAGGGTGGAACTGGAAGAGCACTTCCAGCTGATGTGGCAGTGCCATTCTCCACATAGACTGCAGTTAACACATGCATGTAACTTGGATGGTGTTCTTGTGAATTTAAAATTATTCCCCAAATTCACCTGTGATGGTTTATTTTACAAGTAAAAGAAGAGAAAATGGAGGAAAGAGACCTGCTGTCTGACCTACAGGACATCAGTGACAGTGAGAGGAAAACCAGCTCTGCCGAGTCCTCCTCAGGTACAAGTGCCATCTGGCCGAAGCCTCGCTGACCCTCAGTGTCTGGCCGAGGCCTCGCTGACCCTCGGTGTCTGGCCGAGGCCTCGCTGACCCTCGGTGTCTGACCGAGGCCTCACTGACCCCCGGCATCTGGCTGAGGCCTCGCTGACCCTCGGTGTCTGGCCGAGGCCTCGCTGACCCTCAGTGTCTGGCCAAGGGCCTCGCTGACCCTCGGTGTCTGGCCGAGGCCTCGCTGACCCTCGGTGTCTGGCCGAGGCCTCGCTGGCCCTCGGTGTCTGGCCGAGGCCTCACTGACCCCCGGCATCTGGCCGAGGCCTCGCTGACCCCCGGCATCTGGCTGAGGCCGTGCCCAGCTGCCAGCAAGGCCAAGGCTGACCCCAGCTTTGCTTTCTTGGACAGTGGAATCAGGCTCAGGCTCGGAGGAGGAAGAAGAGGAGGAAGAGGAAGAAGAAGAAGGGAGCACCAGTGAGGAATCCGAGGAAGAGGAGGAGGAGGAAGAGGAGGAGGAGGAGGAGGAGGAGGAGACTGGGAGTAACTCAGAGGAGGCGTCAGAGCAGTCTGCAGGTCCGTGGTCTTCCCGTGTTCGCCGCAGGCAGCGTAGGACCTGCAGAAAACCACTTTGAAGCTGAAGTGAATTTCAAATTGAATTGCATTCCTCTGTAGAATTTTTTTTTTGGGGGGTGGGGGGTCCGGTCGTGGGGCCTGAACTCTGTGCCTGGGCGCTGTCCCTCAGCTCTTCAGCTCAAGGCTAGCGCTCTACCACTGGAGCCACAGCGCCACTTCTGGCTTTTTTCTTTTTGTTTATGTGGTGCTGAGGAATTGAACCCAGGGCCTTATGCATGCAAGGCAAGCACTCTACCACTGAGCCACCTTCCCAGCCCCTCCTCTGTGGAACTTTTTGTTTGGTTGTTTTTTGGTCGTGGGGCCTGAACTCTGGGCCTGGGCGCTGTCCCTCAGCTCTTCAGCTCAAGGCCAGTGCTCTACCACTTGATCCACAACGCCATTTCTGGTTTTCTGGTGGTTCATTGGAGATAAGAGTTTTACAGACTTTCGTGCCCAGGCTGGCACTGAACTGTCATCCACAGATCTCAGCCTCCTGAGTAGCTAGGATAGTAGGCGTGAGCCACCGGCACCCAGCTCCTCTGTGGAACTTTTATGAGACTCAAAAATAGGCTGTTAGAGAGTATTTGTGGCAGGCGTGGGGCCCGAGCATCTACTTTTGGCTCTCAGAAGATCACAATTTGAAGCCAGCCCTAGGGCAAAGTTAGCAAGATTCTCATGCCAAGCAGCAAGCTGGGTGTGATGGTTCTTGTTCATAATTCCAGCTGCGAGGGAGGATTTGATGAAAGGTTCGGGTCCATTGCAGCCCAAGGACGGTGGGAAGAAAGCATGAGAATTTAGAAGTTAAAAGTGAACTTGGGGCGCAGTAGTTCATGTTACTCAGGAGGCTGAGATTCTGAGGATCACAGTTCAAAGACAGCCTGAGCAGAGAAGTCTGTGATTCTTTTATCTCTATTAACTACCAAAAAGCCAGAAGAGTCACTGTGATTCAAGTAGTAGGCTGCTAGCTCAGGGATACTTTTTCCTAACAGAAGAAGTGAGTGATGAAGAAATGAGTGAGGATGAAGAGCGAGAAGATGAGAATCACATCGTGGTTGGTAAGGACCCCTGCCACGGAGTCCCTGTCCTCAGCTGTGACTGAGCATGGCCGCGTCCAGGCCCATAGTCCAGCCATGGCGGACCAGGCGCCTTCCCGGCCATTCTTCCTGCAAGCTGCCACCACTCTGGGAATGGCCCTGGGGTCCTGGATGTGCCCTGAACACTTAGCCGGGTGTTCCTGGGGCCGCTGTTCCTCAGTGGGAAGCTTTCCCTGGAAGGCTTTCTTCTAGGTGGGGCTGAGACCAGGTGCTGAGGAGTCTGGGAAATGCTCCCTGAGGCCCAGTCCTGGGGGGAAGGAGACTGCTGGACAGCAGCTTAGTCTGAGGCCCTCCTGTGGTGCTGGTGGCCTGAGGGACCCGCCCCTCCTTTGGCACGTGCCCTCATCCCGAGCCCAGTGCTGGGCGCAGGGCTCTGCCATGCCTGCCCGGAGGCCTTGGTGCCTCTGGCACCCTCCTCCTGTGGAGGCCTCGCTGACCCCGCCCAGCACCCACCCAGGGCAGAAGAGGTGCCGTACTTGCTTCTTCCTGGTTCCCTAATTAGGTTTAACTTTTAAAGTTCCAGAGTCACGATTTGACCGAGACTCCGGGGACAGTGAAGACGGGGAGGAAGAAGTGGGGGAGGGGACCCCCCAGAGCAGCGCCCCCACTGAAGGGGACTACGTTCCTGACTCCCCCGCCCTGTCGCCTATTGAGCTGAAGCAGGAGCTGCCCAAGTACCTGCCGGCCCTGCAGGTCAGGCACCCCCACCCCCTCCCTGCTCCGTGGTGACGGGAGCCAGGCCTGGCATCCGTGTCCTGCTGGCCCACCTGTGTGATGGCCTTCCCGGCTGAGAGCCGTGGAGCCAGCCGCCCTAGACCCCAGGGCCTCGTCACGGCCACTGTCCTGACTGCTGGCCAGGTGCACTGGGGCCACATGGGTGTGCACGGGGTGTGAGCTGCTTGGTGGGCCGGGGTTGAGGGAGAGCTGTAAGGAGAGGACGGGGCTAGCAGGTACCTGGAATGTGGCAGAAGCACCAACGTGGGGCCGACATGCACACACCCCTCCCCTGCCCACGTGTCACCGGCACCTCCGGCCTCGCAGGCAGTGGTGGACACTGGAGGCCGCATGTGAGGACCATGGGCCTGCCGCCTTCCCATTGGCCCCCCAGACAGTGCCCGGCAACAGCAGAGGCTCCCGGTGGGGCTCTGTGCGGCTTCCCCCCGCTTCACTTCCTACTGAAAATGCTAGGTGTGATCAGATTAAGCACGGTGCTCCTGCTCACGCACACTGCCTCTCGGGACCACCTTTGAGCCCTTGTGCCAGGCGGAGTGTGGGCATAGACGAGACACCCCTCCCGCCACCGCTCAGCCTCCTTCCCCTGTCCCTCCCCAGGGCTGCCGGAGTGTGGAGGAGTTCCAGTGCCTGAACAGGATTGAGGAAGGCACCTACGGGGTTGTCTACAGGGCCAAGGACAAGAAAACAGGTGGGTGGGCTCCCAGATGTCCCACTGTGGAGAAGTCAGGCTGGGCAGTGGTACCCAGCCCTACGGTCCAGCCTCTCAGGAAGCTGAGATCTGAAGATGAGGGTTCAAAGCCAGCCTGGGCAGGGAAATTGGTGAGACTTATCTCTAACCACCAAAAAACAAGAAGCAGAGCTGCAGTTTAAGGAGAAGACCAGCCCTGAGCAAAAAATATCAAGGGCAATACCTAAGCCCTGAGTTCAAACCCCAGAACCAGTTACTTGCACCACCCCCTACCCCAAAAAAACACAAAAACTTCAGCAGATACCAGGTAGCAAGAGAACTTGGCTTGGGCATCAGGCAGGGAACTTCCCTGGAGAGGCATTACTCTGGTAGTGGGCGGGGGGGGGGGGGGGGGGGGGCCTGGCCACTGTCCCTGAGTTCTTCTGCTCAAGATGAGCACTATCACTTGAGCCACATCACCACTTCCGGTTTTCTGGTGGTTCTTTGGAGATAAAAAGCCTCAAGGACTTTCCTGCCTGGGCTGGCTTTGGACTTGATCCTCAGATCTCAGCCTCCTGAATAGCTAGGGTGACAGGCTCAAGCCACTGGCTGGCTTTGAACCGAGAGCTTCAGATCTCAGCCTTCTGAGTAGCCGAGATGATCACTCTTGTTTGGCACTGTTTTTGTTTTCTTTTTTTTGGGGGGGGGGGTTCTGGTTGTGGGGCCTGAACTCTGGGCCTGGGCGCTGTCCCTCAGCTCTTCAGCTGAAGGCAAGCGCTCTACCACTTGAGCCACAGCGCCACTTCCGGCTTTTTTTGCTTATGTGGTGCTGGGGAATCGAACCCAGGGCCTCCTGCATGGGAGGTGAGCGCTCTACCACTGAGCCACCTCCCCAGCTGTAGGAAAGAACTTCTGACACAAGCTGGGGTTTTAGATGCTCTTGCCTCAGCCTCCAAATCTTGGGACTGAGGTGTGTACCACCATGCCTAACCTAGTGACGCCATTTTCCTTACAGATGAAATTGTGGCTCTGAAGCGGTTGAAAATGGAGAAGGAGAAAGAAGGGTTTCCGATCACATCCCTGAGAGAAATCAACACCATCCTCAAGGCCCAGCACCCCAACATTGTCACCGTCCGAGTAAGGCCCAAAGAGAGGTGTTCCCCTGGGAAGGGAAGAGGTGCCATGGCAGCCTGGGGTGCACCTCAGACGCTCAGTGCAGAAGTCAGCATCAGCCGGAGGTGCCTGTGCCCTTGCTTCTGCTCTCCGTGCCCAGCAACTCGGGGCTCCCGGGAGAGCCAGTGGTGGCAAGGGGATTAGAGGTGCACTGGGCGCCCGCGATCCCATGGCTTCTCTGCTAGGAGATCGTGGTGGGCAGCAACATGGACAAGATCTACATAGTAATGAACTACGTGGAGCACGACCTCAAGAGCCTCATGGAGACCATGAAGCAGCCCTTTCTCCCAGGTCTGTCCCTGCGGGCTCCCGGCCTGGGGGAGGGCCTGAGTTAGGGCAGGGCTGGAAGCCTTCGGCCCTGCTGATAGGCGGGACCATGTCTCCCCGCCTGCGCCACACCTGGGCTCTAGGCTCAGAGCCCTCTCAGGCGGGGGCTGCTGGCTCGCCCCGGGCCCTGGCTGGCATCCAGGGCTCACTAGTGGGCATGCCTGTGACCCCAGCCCTCCCCCAGGGGAAGTGAAGACGCTGATGATTCAGCTGCTGAGGGGGGTGAAGCACCTGCACGACAACTGGATTCTGCACCGGGACCTGAAGACGTCCAACCTGCTGCTGAGCCACGCTGGCATCCTCAAGGTGAGCGCAGGGTCTGGCCCCGCCCCCACGCCCGGGCCCCGCCCCCACACCCAGGCCCCCAACAGCCTCCCTGTGTTACTGCAGGTTGGTGACTTTGGGCTGGCTCGAGAGTATGGGTCGCCCCTGAAGGCCTACACCCCTGTCGTTGTGACCCTCTGGTACCGAGCCCCTGAACTGTTGCTTGGCGCCAAGGTGAGTCTGGTCTGAGACCCCTGAGCCTCAGCCCCTTGGCCCCCAAGCCCCAGATTCTCAGCCCCTGAGCCGTGTCCCCTCGGCCCCAGGAGTACTCCACGGCAGTGGACATGTGGTCGGTGGGCTGCATCTTCGGAGAGTTGCTGACACAGAAGCCCCTGTTCCCTGGGAAGTCGGAGATTGATCAGATCAACAAGGTTTTTAAGGTGGGTGTGGAGGTGCCGGGCTACGCGAGGCTGCCTGAGCCCAGGGCGTGACAGCCCCCAGTCTGCACCTCAGTGCCGCGCCGTGGCAAGGCCGCCCGGGCCACACCTGCAGCTGCGCTGTGCTGCGCTGTCTTCCAGGACCTGGGAACCCCCAGTGAGAAGATCTGGCCTGGCTACAACGAGCTCCCAGCCGTCAAGAAGATGACCTTCAGCGAGCACCCCTACAACAACCTCCGCAAGCGCTTCGGGGCCCTGCTCTCGGACCAGGGCTTTGATCTCATGAACAAGTGAGTCGGGGCTCCCTCCCCGCACAGCCGCCCTGCCCCGGGGCCCCTGTGTACCCTGTGGGCCTCACTGCCACGGCGGTGCCCATCCCTTGCATTCTCCCCAGGTTTCTGACCTACTTCCCGGGGAGACGGGTTAACGCAGAAGACGGCCTCAAGCATGAGTACTTCTGCGAGACTCCACTCCCCATCGACCCTTCCATGTTCCCCACGTGGCCTGCCAAGAGCGAGCAGCAGCGTGTGAAGCGGGGCACCAGTCCACGCCCCCCCGAGGGGGGTCTAGGCTACAGCCAGCTGGTGAGCGGCCGGCCCGCAGGGGTCTCCATGGGGGGCTCAGATGGGGGCCTGTTCTCACAGCGCCCGACCTCCTCCCACAGGGCGACGACGACCTGAAGGAGACGGGCTTCCACCTCACCACCACCAACCAGGGGGCCTCCGCCGCCGGCCCGGGCTTCAGCCTCAAGTTCTGAAGGCGGCGCTGCCTGGCCGCAGAGCCGCCCACGGTCGGCCAGGACCCCGGACTTGGCACTGCCCGCACACCTGCCCACATTTCCTTTTTTATATTTTGATTTGTACATTTGTAGAATTAAATGACTGTTTCCTGTGGAAGGAAAAGCTGGATGTTTCCCCCACGCCTGCCTCGGCCTGTGAGGAAGGGCGGTGGGTGTGGTGCGGGCCTGGGCCCCCCCACGCACATGCGCATGCCGAGCCCCGGCCTGCACTGGGGCTGGTCTTGGGGGATACGTGTTGTCTAGCCTTGTCCACAGATCTCGCCCGCAGTGGGGAAGTCTTCACCACGTGCGTTTTATACACGGGGGTGTAAATGATCGCGGGGTAGTATTCTTGGAGGACACTGTGGGTGTCCTTTCTTTGAGCAAGCCACCCCCGAGCTGGACGGCGCAGGCTGTGGAGCGGGGTGCGGCTGCCCTGCGTCCCCGACACTGTGGCGTCCTCTCTGCCACTCCAGCCAGGCAGGGGTTTGCCCAGATTTGCCCAGGGCCTCCTTTCTGCCTGGCCTTCCATCCCCAGCCTCTTCCCCAGGCCTCCCCCGTTTCCCACCCAGGCCCAGGTGACGCTCCTGACACTTCTCAAGAGGCCACCAGGGCAGCTTTCTGGTCTCCTGGCTACACTCACCAGTGTCCCTGCCAAAATGGACGGACTACATGGTGCCTGGGGCTCCCCCGCCACCTGGAGGCCCAGCCCCGCTTCTGCCCTGGGCACAAACAGCACAGAGACTTGAGAGAAAAGGTGCTTTATCACACGGGCCTGGGCCCGGGCTCCGGGCTCAGCTCCTCACTCGGACCCGCCAGGAGTAGGTGGTGAGCACCCGCTGGTGCCGGCGCACGATACAGGTATAGGTGCCTTCGTTGATGGCGTTGGCAATGATGCTCAGCTGTGCCTCGCCCAGGGCCAGGTACCCGGGGTAGGAGAACTCCAGGGGCTCCTGGTCCTTGTACCAGCTGCAGGGAGAAGTGTCCGCCAGGCCTGTGCCAGCCCGCCACAGGGGCCACCGGCCCTTCCCCCCACACACACACATGGCTGCCCCATCCCCAAGGGCCACACAGCCTGAGACCCCAGGTCACGACCCCCAGTGCCCAGCACTCACTAGACTTTGCCTTTCTTGTGGAGGATCTTCTGGCCGCAGCGGAAGGTCACATTCCTGCCCTCAGACACCAGCCTGGTTTTGGTCCTCAGGGGTGGGGGCGTAGGGGCCACAGTGGGGAAGGGGAACTCTGTGCATGGGAAGAAAATGCTGATGTTTCCCCAGAGGAGATGGGGCCAAGGCTGGGAGCCCCACCCCCACATGCCGCCACTACCACCAGCCCCCAGCCCCAGCTTCACCATAGCAGAAGTCACAGCTGCTGGGACACAGCCTCTTCATCAGCCGCTGGCGGGCATCACAAAAACCCCTTCGTGCCCAGGAGGGACACACAAACAGCCGGTCCAGGCAGCCTTTAGGGAAGGCAGGCTGGCTCAGAGCCGGCCCAGAGCCCTGCCACCCACCTGCTACCCGTCCTGCCCCAAAACACCCACCATAGAGCCGGTGCAGCCCCCACAGCTCATCCTGGGACAGTGTCTTCCAGCCTCGAAGCGTGGCATTGAGGTGCATGAGTGCCCGGCCCTGCTGCGAGTGCATGAGGCCCAGCGCGTGGCCGATCTCATGCGCGGCCACGTGCACCAGGTCTGTGAGCCACACGCCTGCGGGTCCCGGGGATGAGTGCCGACTCCGGGCCCCTGTCCCCAGGGACCCGGCCTGTCTGCTGGAGCTGCTGTGGAGCCTCAACCGCAGCCACAGGAAGATAACGTTCCCAGGCTGGGCTGTGAGCTCTGCACCCAGGAATGCAGCGGGGGAGGGAGCGCGCCCCGGACGACGTGGACAGATGGATGGGGACCGGGCTGTGGCCTGCACCCTCCCCCTTCCCTGCTTGATCCCTAATGGTAGCACCTCCCACAAGAGCAAGGAAAGTCCCTGCGGCCCACCACCGTGGGAGCAGGGCCCCAAAGGAGGCGGCCTTCCTTCACCTTTCTTCCAGCTGTAGCGCGTGGGGCCCAGGACCCAGTATTCGCTGTCATCAAAGTGGATGCCCCCATGGGGGGGGAAAAAGGCGTGGGCCAGCTCGCCGGTGGGGCCGTCGAAGCAGTGGTGCAGGCTGGAGACCAGGCAGTCGGTGTGGTTGACCGGGTAGAAGCCTGGGGGAAGCGGGGCTGAGCCGGGGCCTGGGCAGGCTGAGGCCGGGGACCCAGGACACCTCGGCTAGGGCAGGGCCGGGATCGGCGCTCACCTATCCGGAGATCGCTGGGCTGCTCGGGGGCCACTTCCCGGAAGCTGAAGGGGGACACGTCGCTCCACATGCGGAAAGCGGCAGCCAGGCCTCGCCGGGTGTCCCGGGGGCTCAGGAGGTTCTGGGGGAAGGAGAGGATCCTGCGGGGCGGCCGAGGGAGGGGAGGGTCGGGGCGGGCCGCGGCGCGGGGCTCCGGCCTGGCATCGCCCGGGGCGTGGTGCAGGCGCGGTCAGGTCCGGCCCCGCCCCGCCCCGCCCCGGGCGCGCGCACCTGTAGGTGAGGTTGAAGTGGTCCCAGCGCAGCCTGGCGGGGGTCAGCGTGTAGCGCCGCGTCCGGGGCGGCGAGGCGGGCGGGCCGGGGCTCCGGGGCGGCGAGGCGCCGCTCGCGGGCCGGTGGGCGGGGCGGGCCAGGGCGGCCGGGCTCCGGGCCCCCAGGTCGCGCGGCTGCGAAGTGGAGGCCGCGGTGAGCGCCGGGGCGCCGGTCTCCCCCCCCCCCCACCTCCCGCCCTCGGCCCGCTGCCCCGGGCTCCCGCCCCAGGCCACCCCGAGGCCCCGGCGCCACTTCCGGCCTCTCGGCGGTTAATCGGGGACTTCGCCGTCAGACCTCCGCCTCCGGAGCTCCGGGAGCCCCGGGGACCGCGGCCCGGCTGGCCCGGCGCCTCCCCGCCCGCCCCGCCGCTCACCTGCGCCGCGCTCCGGGCCGGCGCCGCCCCGGCTCCCGGCCGCGCCAGCAGCAGCAGCAGCAGCAGCGCGGGGAGCAGGCGCGGCGCGCCCGGGACGGCGAGCCAGCGGCCAGGGGGGACGCGGGCCCCGAGGCCCATGGCGGACGCGTGGGGCCGGCGCCGGGAGGGCGGGAGGCGGCGGCTCGGGTGACGGCGGGCGGAGGGCGGGCGGGGGGCGGAGGGGCCCGGCCGCCGTCGGGGCCGCGGTCGCGGACCACCCCGGGAGCGGCGGGGGCCGGGCCGGCGGCGGGGCCGTGGGCAAAGGCCCCGGTGGGCTTCTCACGCCGAGCCGGCCCCGGGACCCCGCGAGGTCCGCGGGCAGAGCCGGCCTGGCCGGGGCTCCGCGCGAGTGGAGGCGCCGCGGGGCGACGGAGCGGGGACGTGGCAGGAGCAGCGCGGGAGAGGGCGCGGGTGGGGAGGGCCCTGGTGGAGAGGGCGCGGGTGGGGAGGGCGCCGCGTGGAGAGGGCCCGGGTGGGGAGGACCTGGGTGGGGAGGGCGCCGCGTGGAGAGGGCCCGGGTGGGGAGGGCCCGCGTGGAGAGGGGAGAGGACCCCGCGTGGAGAGGGCCCGGGTGGGGAGGGAGGGCGCCCGCGGGGAGGAGGAGCGGGTCCTGCCCGTGGAGCCTGGAATTCCTGGGCAGACCGAGGCTCCGGGCGGCAGGGGAGCAGGGGCCAGGGCCGGACAGACTGAGAGTGAGAGGCCGGCGGCGGGAGAGAGCGCGGGGGCTCCGCTTCTGCTCACAGGCGCGTCCCCCCACCACGTTCCCGTCCCCCCTCGACCCCCGACCCCCGACCGCACGCGCAGGCAGGCAGGCAGCAGGCGGTCTGTGAACCTCTTTATAAAACACGGGCGGGGAGGGGGGAGGGCGGAGGGCGGGCGGCGGGTCACGCGCGGCCGCGCGGTCACACGAAGATCTGGATGCGGTCGCGGATGGGCTGGCGGCAGATGGGGCAGGCGCTGAGCGCCGCGCCGCACGGGGCGCAGGCGCCGTGGCCGCACTGGAACACGAGGCGGATGTGGCTGTCGATGCAGATGGGGCAGGTGATGCGCTCCTCCATCTGCCGGTAGCGGCTCTGCAGCTCCTCCACCAACTGCCGCGGGGGCCCGAGCGCCGAGGCCGCGCCGGCCACCTCCGAGCCATCTGCGGAGCGGGCGGAGGGCGGGGCTGCGGCGTGGCGAGCACGTGCCTGGGCCGCCCTCCCTCCCACCTGGGCGCGTGGGTGCGTGACCAGCCCTCCCACCTGGGCGCGTGTGTGACCAGCCCTCCCACCTGGGCGCGTGGGTGCGTGTGTGACCAGCCCTCCCACCTGGGCGCGTGGGTGCGTTTGTGTGACCAGCCCTCCCACCTGGGCGCGTGGGTGCGTGTGTGTGACCAGCCCTCCCACCTGGGCGCGTGGGTGCGTGTGTGTGACCAGCCCTCCCACCTGGGCTCAATGCTGTGTGTGTGAGACACACCCACCTGGGCGCAGCTTCTTGCTGATGACCACCTGGCACCGGATACATTTCTTCATCCTGCGTGCACACTCTGCGGGGAGCAGCACACAGCTGAACTGAGCTGAGCAGGCGGGGCGAGGCCTCCCCCCCAGCCACACACACACCAAACGCACACACACTCACCCTCACACACGGTGCGGTGCTGGCATGGAGAGAACAAAACCAGCAGCGCCAGCTCGGAGCACACCAGGCACTCAGCTGCCTCTGGCCCGGCTGCGGCAGCCACGTGCAGGTTCGTCACGGTGTTGGGGGTGGTGAGCACAAGCCTAGGGCAGGGGGCAGAGCCCCCTCCGGCCGCCTGCCGTTCCCTGCAGTGGAGGAAGGGGCTTGAACGGGCCCAAGCCGAGGGGCTGTCTCCGCCCCGGGGGTGTGGGCTCACCGGAAACGCTGGGCACAGCCCTGCAGGGCCTTGAGCACATGGCCCTCGGCAGCCAGGTCCAGCGGGCTCCGGCCCCGGTGGTTGGCATAGTTCACGTCGGCGCCCTCCAGTGCCAGGAAGCAGGCCACTGCAGCACCCACCGACAGCTCTGCGTTCCCCGGGAGGCCGGAGGCTTGGAGCTGCGCAGCAGGGCAGAAGTGGTGAGTGGGTCTGCGAATGCTCTAGGCGGCAGCCGCAGCACCAGTGAAAGGTGTGTCCCCAACCTGGAGTGACAGAAGCTTCCTGACCCAGACAGGCCACAAGGACACGTGCCCTTTCTAGGCAGCTGCAAACGTGAGTTGTCGACTCCTTCCATCCAGCCTGCCCCCATCATGTCCCCCCACACCCCCGCCAGGTTGGTCAGGGGTTCATAATCACGGTTCCCTTCCCAGAACATCCAAGGGTCCCCTGGGCCACCAGAGGTGGGAAGTAGAGTGGTCCAGGCCCTCTCTGGAGTCTGTCCCTCCCTCCCTCCCTCCCTCCTTTCCTTCCTCACCCTGGATAACAGCTGCAAAGGCCCTGGGTCCCCCCCTGCCCTGTCAGCCACCAGAGGCAGCAGCTGGTGACGGTGCAGGGCCACGTGCAGGGCCGTGTCTCCCTCCTCATCCTCCGTGTTGACAGAGCAGCCGGCGTCCACCAGCACTGGCACCAGCCCCACGTGGGCCTGCTGGACAGCCAGGTGCAGGGGGGACTGGAGCTTCCGGTTTCGCACGTTGACGTCACAGCGCCCCTGGGGAGAGGGGGTGCGGGTTCAGCCCAGAGACGCCACTGGCCCCCGGCCCCGGGGCAGGCCTGCACCCACCTCTCGGATGAGAACCTGGGCCACCTCCCGGTGGTTGTTTAGAGCAGCCAGGTGCAGTGCAGTAAAACCGTCTTCCTTCTTGGCGTCCACCAGCTGCCGTGCCCGAGCCAGGATCTTCCTAACCGCTCTGTTGGGAGCAGGGAGGTCTATCCTCAGGGTGGCAGGGAGCAGAGCGAGCGTGGGTGCCGGCAGCGCCCACCCCCACACTCACAGCACGTGGCCTTTGAGGGCAGCGTGGTGCAGCAGTGTGAAGCCCTGGCTGTTGGTGGCAGTGACGTCAATCCCCGGCGCCTCGGTGAGAACCTCGACAATGCCACTGGCGGCGGTGCCTGCGGAGATGGCGGAGTGCAGGGGCGTGTCGGCATGGGTATCCTGTCGGTGTGGGGGGAGGCAGTTGGTCACATGGCAGTGACTTTGAGGACAGGCCTGGCGGAGGTCGGGGGCACCCAGGCCCGGCACTCACCGGCAGGTTGACGTCACAGCCACGCTCACACAGCGTCTTCACCACCTCCAGGAAGCCTCTCTGCACAGCCACGTGCAGGGCTGTGCTCCGGGAGCCGCTGAGGACGTCGGCCCCACACCCTGCACTCAGGAGCATGCGGGCAGCCTCCGGCTGGTTCCTGAAGGGAAAAGCGGCAGGGTCAGGGAGGGGCACTCAGCCTTCCAGCTGGACCCTAGCGCGGGCCTGGGCCTCACCCCAGGGCTGCATAGTGCAGCGCGGTGTTGCCGTCCTCATCAGCAAGGTCTGTGCCTGCTCTCGCTTGCAGCAGCAGCCGCACCAGCTCCACCTGGCCCAAGTAGGCAGCCACCTGCAGGGCAGTCCTGCCTTGGTTCTTGGTGTCCACCTGCCAGAAGAGCCAGCAAGTGAGCTCTGGGACCCCCTGGCCCCGCTGCTGGGTACTGGGAGGGGCCGGCAGAGCTTGCCTGCTCAGGGTGCCTCCGAAGCAGGTCCAGAGCCCGGGCCACATTGCCCAGAGCTGCCTCCACCACCAGCTTCCCTGGGTGCTCCGGGTCATTCTTCTGGGCCCGCAGCTTGTCCAGGGCCATGCTCAGTGAGCCTGGGAACAGGGCTGAGGTCAATGCCAGCCAGGGGCCACCCCCCCAGCCCCCCCCCCACCACAGGGGCCGGGGTCACACTTTTGTTCTCCCTGGCACGCTCAGCCACATCCAGGTTGGCGTCCTCCTCAGGCCGGTAGGCCACTAGGCAGGACGGGCTGAAGGTCCACCGCTGGCCACCAACCGCCACACGCAGGTTCCCGTCTCCAAACACCTTGACCACCTTCCCCACGCGGCCCAGGGCCTGAGGGAGGTAGGAGTCACGGCAGGCCCGGGGGTCAAGGCAGAGAGCAGTAGGGCAAGGAAGGTACATACAGGGGCCATGTCGTCCGTCCATTCGCCGTGTCCGGCCTGCAGTCTCTTCACCATGTCCAGGTCGTCGATCACCCGAACCACGTCACCCACCCAGAAGGAGTTGTGCTGAGTGACAGAGAAGCAGGTAAGGGGTCCCCCAGCCATACCTGGCCTCCCAGGCTGGTGGGAGAGGGCACCCCACTGAGCCCCAAGGGCCGGCAGACCTCAACTTGACCCCAGTTCCTGCCCCAAGTACAACCAGAGGGTCTTGGCTGCATGGGGGCCATAGGGGGGTCCACTTGGCTGCTGGAAGGCCCAACCCGAGTCACAAGGGTGATGGCTGGAGAGGCAGCATCTAGGCCTGCCCAGAGCCAACTGGGGCAAGGCCCAGGCCTCTGGTTCCAAGGGGGCCACTGCCAGCATGCCCAGCACAGCGGGGGCAGCCCAGGGCGGAGGCAGGGCCCAGAGGGAGCAGGCCTGGGACAGAAATCAGAGCAAGAGTGGGGTACCAGCCCCACATGGGGTGGGTTCCGGATGGAGAAGCGAGATGGGAATAGGCCTCCGGGACCTATGCACGTCCCAGACCCTGGCGTACAGTGAACTCACGGTGCACTTGTCCCACTGCCCATCCCTGCTTCCCGAAACCACCTTCCCTGAACTCTAGGTTCACAGGGGAGCCCTGGTTCCTTCCTTAGTCCCAACTGCTGGCCACCTAGCCCCCTCCTGGACGGCCCAGCTTGACTCCCCTACCCTTCAACACCCCTCATCTAACACTTTCACCGAGGCTCCCGCATAGGCCCTCCCAGGTGTCCTGTGCCGCTGCTGCAAGCAGCCCCACCGGCTGTCTCCCTGTGCTGTCTGCCTCCTGCCTTCAGAGCTGTGGTCCTGCCTGCTGCAGCCTCCGCCTCCCCGTCCCCCTCCCCCTCCCAGGCACCCCACTCCACCCACTGGGCTTTTCCCCTTCTTTCAGGTCAGGAACTCAGTCCTCTCCTGACCACGCCCAGGGCCAAGCAGGCACGCAGAGGGGATTAGAGA